TTTTATGAAACCTGAGCAGCAGCAATGCATGATGGGAGGAGGATGGAGTGAGTTTTTCACATGGTTTAAGGTAACAAATGAGGTCTAATTTTAGAAGCCGTTTCAGGACACAACAGCCAAGTATCACACTCAGTTTAACCAGCTCAACTACCATCACAGGTTAACATTGCACACTAGCTTTCCTGATTTATGTAGTTTAAGTGCGTGTTTGAGAGAGAGCATCCCCGTCTTGGAAATGATATTTAACAATTATTGCCTACCATTATAACTGCAATAACAGACACTCGGATGACTAAACAAGCTGCAATCCAAACATCCATTTATCTGTGTACATCTCCGGCATAAAAGTTTACAGGATTTCAAAACAAAAACAAGGAGAGAAACATCCATAAACTGAATGTGATGACACATCAAACCGTGCAGCAAACAGAGCCTTTCTGTCATACACTTCCTGTTGTTTTATTTTTCCAGAACTGTGTTTACAAGACAGCAGACACAAAGACGAGAGGCTTCATAGCACTCAGACAATGTGTGTTTAACCCAGGACTAAGAGAGTCTCCACGGGTCTTCTTATCTTACTAAGCTTTTTATTTTCCTTTATGTTAAAAACTTGTAATTATAGAGTTTTGGAGTTTTAATTATCATGATATTAGCATTACTAAACTGAGCGTTAACAGCTGATGACTTCAACCTTATCATGAGCCAAATTCAAATGCTCACACTTGTTGATGGGGTTTCCTTTTCTTTGACCACATGAACAGACGATTGCATGAGACCCCACAAAAACTCTGCAATGTGAACTCTGTAGACTCTGACAACTAAAGGTGCAATTCCACTAATGGGTCTGCTTTGGTTAAGTACAGTAAAGAACAATTTGAAATGACAAACCTTGATCTTCCTTGTGTTTTCACAGCAGACTGTACTCTACCCTGTCACTTCATGCAGGAAGCATGCTGGCTGCAGTGTGGATACGAGTTTAAACCGTTCAGACTGCTGCCATTAAAAGTGCATCAAACCCTTTTTATTTTTTTCCCCATGAGTCATTTATACATCAAAAACCAATAAACTTGTGGGAAATATTCAGTGTGAATTAGCTATGTTTATAGAACAAACATGGCAAATATACCATGGTCTGTACTTCTGGAAAGCTTCTCAAGGCAAAAGCCTGAAAAGACCCCCTCGTTTTCACGCATGCTTTTATTGTGAAATTGTATCCACGACATTTATCTGGTGAAAGGAGTGACTTTGACAGCTTTTTTTTTTTAGTTTGATGTTACCTTTGCGGGGAAATAAAAAAAAAAATTCACATTGGCTTTTGGTAAGCTGTGTTAGGAATTAAACAATATCAGGCTAAGGGAAATATTTTATCTTTTACAATTTCCTTCTCTCCCTTTGCAGTCATCTCTATGCCCCCTCACTGCTCAGCTGGGGTCTGTGTGTAAATTTGGCACCTGTTTAGACACCCCTTAAAGCTTATGATACTGGAGTCACAGTTCAATAAAAAACTTCGACAGAAACTGGTAAGGGTAAATGTAACTGCAATGTATTGAATCAGACCCCATTGCTGTAAAAGCACCAAGTGAGCTCTTCTCACACCTAAGCTCTTCAGATTTTTTAGACAGTTTTATGAAATGTAGGTCCTCAGAGTTTCAGAAATGGTGGGGAATTGTTCTTTTAAGATGCACTATCATACTCTTAATTCTCAGTTTGGTTAAATTAAATAGTAATTAGTAAGTTAAAGTACATGGGATGTGTTCACAAATGCAACCCTTCTGGGCAGTGTTTGGAAATTTTCAGGAGCACATTGCATATGTGAAAGGGGCTGAGTGGAGCCTCAGGCACTCCTTTAAGAGCATAAGAATCAGTGCAGAGGTTTAATAAGTGGATGCAGGCCCTAATGATGATGTTCGTACTGGACTACTCATTGTCTTCTTCAATTCTGATTCACTGAATATAACCCCTTTACAAAGTGACCTCTTACTTTGCTGCTTCTAAAACCAAGTTGGTAAAAATCATTAATGGGCTCACCTGAGAGGACTTGCATTTTTACTCTGATCTCACGGCCATAGGGTATATGAACCACATATTTCTTGAATACTTTAAAGTAAGAATTAATCTTACTTCCGAAACTTTTCACTTTTCACTACACTTTTTTTTTTTTCAGTAATTCACTGCTCATCCTTCTGCCCGCTCAAGGGTTAAACTCAACAAACACTAACCTGTGTGCAGCCATATTTTTACCCAGCAGCTGTATATCATTTTTTCCAGCTGGTCATCTATAACTGGCTCACATCTGCATTTAGGCCCCATTAACTCAGCAGGTCAGTGTCAATACGCCTGCCGTGCTCTCAGTTAACAAATGTTATGTGTTGTCCTACCTGCCCACGTGCCCTCTCGCATGCTTTACGCACTGGTGGATACAGACGCGCGTCACCATGGTAACGTCATTCATCTGCAAATCTCACCGGAAACGTATCTCACCCCCTCCACCACCACAATCCCAATCAAACCTAATTATACCATATTGCTTTTCTTGTCCGACAATAAGGACGGTTGCTGGGGGTGGATGAGAGCGAGAGATTTAATGTAATTATTGAGACACTTCTTTCTCAGCTCTGCGTGGAAAGAGTGAGATGCGCAGTGATGGACGCTGCTTGTCAAAATGCCTATTGATGAAGCGCAAAAACCCAATTTGCAGTCATAAGGCAACTACCTTCCAATTATGTTAGTGCCAGAGCATTCCTCAAGCCCAGCAACTCCAATCCTTCTCTCTTTTCTGAGTGGCTAGACCATTGCCCTTGGCAGACAGGTACCAAATGGGCTGCTCTCTGCATGCTGCCTTTAATGTTTTATTGATTTGCTTAGCATACGCCCCGATTCAACTCACACACTCCAACACTATTGCCCTTTGTACTCGCAGCCTGACCTGCCCCACATGAAAATTACGTTATTGAAATATGTTAAATGTGTCGCCCCCCTCTCTGTGCGAGAAATATCTCACCTATTGATGGATCTTTCAGGGGCTAGCAGATTGGTAATATTAGATCCCCAGCAGCTTAATGACTTCTATTACTACAATTCCATCAGCCCCTAAACCAATCAATCATATGAACTAGGTAACATATCAAAGCCATGAATAAAATCAAAAGGGGGATTAGAAGATATATTTTCCAATTTTCATGTCAGATACAAAATAAGTATAAAAAGAGGGCAAGATGGAGTGCTGAGGAGTAAGTCCGCTTTGCCATGGAGAAAGAGAAATGGAACAAACATCTGAAAGGAGAGTTGTGAAATTAATGAGCAAAGAAAATGTCGGCCGAACAACAAAAGAACATGTAACCACATTGAGTCTTCAATTTTCTCGTCCCACTTAATAAGAGAGCTCACAATCATCATTCAGCTGACTGCAGGGGATCCAATTACCTCCATCTAAAGATGGTATCAGCCAGCAACACAAGCACACAAATATTTCTCTCTCAATCTCATTATAAGTGAGAACAATGATTAAATCTAACTTTGCTTTTGACCTGAGTGCCCAGAGACATACAACTACGCATGGACTCAACAATGACTGATCAGAGGATATGTTTATGCATGGAAAAATGCACGTGTGTGTGTGTGTCTATCTGTTTGTGTGTGCCACCATGCTCACATGTTAATGATGAATATGCGTCTGCCATGTCCTCAGACTCCCCGAGCAGAGGAAGGGACCCTCAGACAGAATACACAACAGGGACAGACACAGCTTATTCCCAGACAATGTCAATAGCTCAAGGGTAAAATCATTTGTCACCGCAGTGAAATCCCTCTAAATGTATACATTTATTATTGTCGCTCTTTAATTGATCGCAGGGCGCCAAGAGAAATACCAAGGGTCTGTAATACTCGCCTATCTCATTTACAAATCACACTTTGCAAAGCTTCAAGGGCATGTGGGGCTCCTCTAAGTGGAAAGGAAAAGAAAAATCTAGTTTGTGGCCCTCAGTATTCTGAAGTTACACATTAATCTGGCTGACCTGTGAGAGGCAGGTTGGTGCATTACGTTACAAATCACATGGATGATATGAGATGTTTGATTAATGAGGATATTGATGTGCATCAGGAGGAGACGTTAGCTGATTGCATGATTATATTAAATACATTTGCTGAATGTTGATCCGTCCTTTCATTGTGCACTCATGGATTTTTCACACAAATGTGTTTGGATTAACTGTGTATTTTTGTGTATTTGTAGACAGAACATTGTCAATGTTCCTTTTATCTGGTTTTCAATCTTTGTCTCAAACCTGAGACTCTCAGCACAGATGATAAAACTGGATTAAAGGGTAAAGGAACTGTGGATAAAGGAGCATAGGACAAATTGTAGCCCTACCAACAACAACTGTTGCAACAACAAACAACTTTTTTTGCAAATGTACATGTAAATGTTCATTATTTATACAGCCCTTTACAACAACCCTTTCAGTGAACTAAAGTGCTTTTCAATACATAGTGAATAAAAATGACTATATATGAAAACAAAAGCGGTAAAAACAATAAAAAGCAATAAAAAAGAATGAGATACAATGTAAAAAAATAAAGTACAGATTTTTGGAATGATTTTTTTTTGTAGTAAAAAGAATAATTGATGAAAGACAGAGAAAAAAAAGTTTCTAAAATAAGGTTGAATAAAATCAACCTTTCGGGGACAACACAAAAACTGCAATGAAATAATCGTTAAAAAATTTTAAAAAACTATTTTTTAATCATGTGCCTCAAGCACACCATATTTGATGGATGAAAGGAGCCTTCTAATTGGCTTATGGAGGTGATAGGAGCACTCTGTCTGGCTGGATAAAAACACCCTTCTGTGTGGCCACCAGAACTGAAGCGTCCTCTGAATGTTTGGATGAAGGAAGCCGTCCGATTGGCCAACAGAAATGAAAGGATACCTCTGATTTGCTCTTTTTGCTCATAGGAAGCAGAACTAACCACAACATGAGAGGACTGTGTGGAAGTTCAAGCCCTTTTTTTAGTCATTTCCATTTAACATCTGATCATGTTCACACAGAAGCACATTTGCAGCTGCAGTCTGATTTCGCATTTTACACTAACCCACATTGGAAAGACCCAAGTGAGGATTTGAACCCTGTAAAACATTCTTGTCACACTAACTTATCACTCAGTGTTTCATCTCTGCTCATTCTTGGTCTTCAAAATCCTCACAGTACCTTCCAGTCAAACAACAGGGTCCCATTGTGAGAAACCTCCATCAATCTGGCCCAGTGCTGCAGGGGTTAACTGCTCTAATTTTAAACTACCAGACAACTACTCTATTTTGCTGTTAATAGGAAGCTATCAATTGTAAAAGGCCAGCAAACACTGACCCTGGATACACCCTTAAAACAAGCTCACGCACTCACAGACACACACGAATCAAACGCTCTGCTCTCGTTGGGACCACCCAGGTACAAGTAGTAATTACTCCAACATCTCTGGGTTAAATCAACATCCTCAACCCTCAGCAGTACATCATCTTTATATGAAAGCCCAAGCTTCATATAAAAACTCCTAGCAAATCATATGTCATCCGCTTTTTTAGTGTGTGTGCACATCCTGATTTATAGTTAGCTGACTTTGTAGCATATTTCCCCGTAATGAACAACCAACTTGTCTGTTTATTTGAAGTCATTCCAGCTTATTTTTCTTCCTCTTGCACGTTCTAAAAATTTATTGTCATATCTAAACAACGCTGCAATTATCCCTGCCATTTGGCTGTGCTGTTAATGTCTGCATAAAGCGATAATGTGTCTGACATGCAGCGTGTATGCCGACATCTGTTCATGAGCCACGCAGCGTCCCCTCTGATATTCTTTTCCTATTGTGATCATTTTCAATTGATTCTTTATGAGTCATTTCAGAGCTAATGGCTTGTGAGTGGCGCGTAGAAGAGGGGACCTTTGGGAGAAGGTGCACAGACTGACAGAGAGATCAGAGATGAGACACAAACACAGCAGAGACCGAGAAGGGGGGGGCGAAAGCAGAACCAAGTGATCAACAATCTGCTGAAATTTGTGCATGAAAGACCCCAATCACACAGCTCTCATCCATGATTATATTCCAAAGTGCCAATTACATTGTGTCAGAAAACTACAGCACGAGGTTGACACTCTACAATAAAGCAAATAATTTCCAGTTGGAGGAACAGAAAACGTTAATATGAGGGGTGGAAGATGGGGTGAGGAGGATCTCGGTTAAAGGAAGTAGCTAATAAGGTTTAATGGTGCGTGTCAGGAAGCCACAGTATGCAGGGGAAACACAGCTGGCTTCATTTTGTAAACTATTTGATATACACATCTATCCCACTCACAATTATCAGCTGCTCTTATACCACTGGGGACAGTTTAGCGACTCCAATCAGGGGCATTTTCGACCCACTCTTCAATTGAAAAAAAGATATTTATGTACTTTGGTGAGGGTGCCCGCTGCTTCTTTTCGAAGAGATGTAAAATAAGAGAAAGAAATATGTGAATTTTGTCAAGATATTTTTACAATTAGGTAATAAAACCCAAACTAAACATAAACCTGTTAAAATCCATTCTCTGATGGTGGTCCAGGTGAAACGAAAATGGATCTTTGCTGGTTGGTGTAGCATTTCAGGTGAGTATCTCATGTCTTAAGTGTCATTTCAAACTGACAGCGACATTCATTAAAGTTAGGATGTGTGATGGAGAGCTTAGTGACAGTCTCACTCTGGAGATTTTAGGATGTGTAGGGCTAAGGAAGCAGGTGTGTAAGGAGATAAGGATCAGGGTGCCCTCATCTGCTGGCATCCTGTGATCTGTGCTACATCAAAAGCTGCTCGGTAATGTTTGGAGATGAGGGGTTAAATATACTTGCATTTCCAAGTTCTCTGTCCAGATGAGAATTTTAGTGTTATTTGTATCAGCACGGATGAAACACTGAGCACTGCTGTGAATCTGTGTGTGTGTGTATGTTTGTAATGAGCAGAGGTATGAGCTTATTTGAACCCTGAACACGATGGCTATCGCAGTCATGGTAGGTAGGTTGGACTTTGTATTTCAGAGTCACAGTAAAATTGATGGGTTTGATGTTTTAAACTCCGTAAAACACAACTGTTCTTAATATAAATGCTGCTTCGTGAATAAACTGGCCTTACCTCAACTTGCTTAACCGCCCCCTCATAGCAGAAAAAGAACTGCTCTCTAAACTATGCTAGTAAACAAATTGTGAACCCAAATAGTAAACAGAGTATGTTTAGTTTCAAGTTTTAAGTCGGACTATAAATGATGACGGCTCTTAGAAAAGTAAGTCTTTGCCAAGTGGTGACTTTAGCCAGAATCCCTGAAGAGTTTGCCATCTTTGCCATAAACTATACAGTCTTCAAATGGTAGTTGGATGGCTCTGAGTTTGGCAGACAGTCCACTACCTGGAGTGGTCTGTAGCTGATGTCCAGGCCAGTCTTTGAATTTAGCTCTTTTGACAATGATGTCTTAGCTCTTGCTTTAAAGGTACAATGAGCCATCAAAGTTCTTGATTATCCACAGCTATGGTGGGAACCAGGGCCATAAAAAGTGTACAACAGATAAGATATTTCTCAACAATGCCAGAAAATATAGAGGACCATATGTTAATCAACCTCGGGCCCTGGAAACAGCCCAGTGGAGTTGTTAAGCTTATAGCCAACACGCTAAAAGAAAACGTCTTAAAACTACTTTATCCTCTTTTGTGAAACTGAGTCAAGAATTGTTCCAGCTTAAGTGTTTGTTTAACCAAATGTAAGTTTGAATTAGGGTGAAAATGCGAGAAAAAATATGGGTGGTTGCCATTTTTGTAATGCCTTATGTAGAACCAAACTCTGATCAGTGTAATAGCTCTATGGATAGCAGTGCCAACAGCTAAACTGCAGTTCTCAGTAGACTGGTTGTAGTACTGTTACTCCATAGAAGCAAACTGGTTTGGTATTGTTGTAACATTGAAGCCATACTTTTTTTACAACAAGGTGAGAGTGCAGCAGATTATTCTGTTACAGTCAAACTTCTGAGAATTACAGGACATGTCAGCCAATATGTGTTGTAAATATCTTTAAGGTTGGAGCTAGGGTTAGAGTTAGGTGTGGGGTTGGAGCTAGGGTTAGGGTTAGGGTTAGGGTTGGAGTTAGGGTTAGTGTTGGAGCTAGGGTTAGGGTTGGGCTTGGAGCTAGGATTTTTCTGAGTGCAATGAACCAACTCCCGAGTCTCTAGGACGTTCCTAAATAAATTTGATTTTTTCCCATAGGAATGCATGGGTTAGGGTTAGGGTTAGGGTTGGAGCTAGGGTTAGGGTTAGGGTTAGGGTTGGAGTTAGGGTTAGTGTTGGAGCTAGGGTTAGGGTTGGGCTTGGAGCTAGGATTTTTCTGAGTGCAATGAACCAACTCCCGAGTCTCTAGGACGTTCCTAAATAAATTTGATTTTTTCCCATAGTAATGCATGGGTTAGGGTTAGGGTTAGGGTTGGAGCTAGGGTTAGGGTTAGGGTTAGGGTTGGAGTTAGGGTTAGTGTTGGAGCTAGGGTTAGGGTTGGGCTTGGAGCTAGGATTTTTCTGAGTGCAATGAACCAACTCCTGAGTCTCTAGGACGTTCCTAAAAAAATTTGATTTTTTCCCATAGGAATGCATGGGTTAGGGTTAGGGTTAGGGTTGGAGCTAGGGTTAGGGTTAGGGTTAGGGTTGGAGTTAGGGTTAGTGTTGGAGCTAGGGTTAGGGTTGGGCTTGGAGCTAGGATTTTTCTGAGTGCAATGAACCAACTCCCGAGTCTCTAGGACGTTCCTAAAAAAATTTGATTTTTTCCCATAGGAATGCATGGGTTAGGGTTAGGGTTAGGGTTGGAGCTAGGGTTAGGGTTAGGGTTAGGGTTGGAGTTAGGGTTAGTGTTGGAGCTAGGATTAGGGTTGGGCTTGGAGCTAGGATTTTTCTGAGTGCAATGAACCAACTCCCGAGTCTCTAGGACGTTCCTAAAAAAATTTGATTTTTTCCCATAGGAATGCATGGGTTAGGGTTAGGGTTAGGGTTGGAGCTAGGGTTAGGGTTAGGGTTGGAGTTAGGGTTAGTGTTGGAGCTAGGGTTAGGGTTGGGCTTGGAGCTAGGATTTTTCTGAGTGCAATGAACCAACTCCCGAGTCTCTAGGACGTTCCTAAAAAAATTTGATTTTTTCCCATAGGAATGCATGGGTTAGGGTTAGGGTTAGGGTTGGAGCTAGGGTTAGGGTTAGGGTTAGGGTTGGAGTTAGGGTTAGTGTTGGAGCTAGGATTAGGGTTGGGCTTGGAGCTAGGATTTTTCTGAGTGCAATGAACCAACTCCTGAGTCTCTAGGACGTTCCTAAAAAAATTTGATTTTTTCCCATAGGAATGCATGGGTTAAGATTGACTTCAAAAGATGTCCCTTACATTGGTGAATGTACAGACACACAAACATGACTTCACCTAACAGGAACATACATCCAGGTGACTCTCCAAATACGCTTAAATAACCATTAAATTAACCATTGCTAAGTCAGTCTACTAACACCTTTGAGCAACTTGTCAAAAGTGATAACAGAGCATGACATAGGAAGGGGTCTACGCCTTTTCAGGTGAAGCTTGTCCAAACAAATACCTTCAGCGAACAACTTTTGTTGTTTTGTTGTGGCTTAACGTTCTTCAGTTCTCTGGGTAGTAGCTGAAGTACAAGGATGCCAAATTATATAACAAGTAACCAATGGCACAGTTCATTGATTTTAAAAGAAGCTTGTTCAACTCAGTCTATGATACCCTCTCTTAAAATAATAAAAAAAGGAATAACAGAAATGAGCCATAGTTGTCGACCCGTGTTCATCATTTTAAAACAGTTTCAGATTGAATCAAGTAGATTACAGTTTAATTTCATTGATTTAAAGTGGGATTGATTGTAGAAACAAGACATAAGGTATCCAGCTATACACATTTACAGAGAATTTGCTGAAACTATAATACTTTGATATTCTTCACATGTTGGTTTCAGCATAACTGACCATTTAAGTCTATAAAATGAAATTCTGTTGTATGAGATCCTTTTTTAGAGCATAAAAAGGTCTCCTCTTGTATTTCAAACATAAAAACATAATTGCTTTGCCTCCAAACTTCTCATCCTTTGTGTTTCCAGCCCCTCAGTGCTCAACTTCCTCACAAGGGTCAAATAATTGTCAGTGTCACCAGCAGATTTAGAGAGTGGAGCATCGGAGGATAAACCACTGGAGGGGACAAAGCTATATTCTCAGGCTGGTAGGATTTACACTGTACTGCAGCGAGGATAAGCCCATCATTAAATCATTATGATTGCAACCCTTGACTCCTGAGGTTTTCCTTTTCCTTTTTTTTACTACCCACCACAGCGTGTGAAAAAGAGTACCCTGAACTTCAAAAACTGGATGTTGTCTTATGAGCCACTTGCATTTGATGGACCTAATTTAAACTATTATGTTCTTGTGGTTTCCTGATCCTATTATAAATATTTGAGGGGAAGTATTTATCGTTGAGATACTGTATATCAGCACAGATGGAGTTCCTGTGCAAGCAAAGGTCAGTGATTTAGACGTATAAACATGTGAGTGGGAAAGCCTTAGGGCCTTGACCTAAAATTCATGGAAGTGATGACAAACAGAGGATGTGGCGAAATAAGTGAGGCAATGAATCATGGGTTAGGGTTAGGGTTAGGGTTGGAGCTAGGGTTAGGGTTAGGGTTGGAGTTAGGGTTAGGGTTGGAGCTAGGGTTAGGGTTGGGCTTGGAGCTAGGATTTTTCTGAGTGCAATGAACTGCGTTTAATCCCTTGTGTGTTGCACTGAGACTCTCCTCCACCAGCTCTTTGTCGGCCTAAACAGGCGATGTGGTGCTGCAGCTCGCCACTGGTAACGCCAAGTGTTTATCGCCCTGTGCAATGTGCAGGTGACAGTAATTATCAGCAGATGACAGTGGCAGTCTCCAATGCGCACCAGATGGCGATACAAGACGTCATGCATGTACAGCTGTAGCGGAGGAAAGAGAAGACCAAGATGAGGGCGGGGGAAAGACAAAGTCAAGACAAAGCATGCTTCTATGTGGCAGCATTAAACCACATCTTAGAAGCCTCATTTGAACCTGCAAGAAGTCCAAAGAATAAAATACAACAGGTGATGCTGGATGGAGTTTGCACTGAATGCTTTGATAGTTTGTCAGGCTGCCAGTATCTTGTGCATCCTGCACACTGTTTAGATCTGCATGCCACATTAGCTCCCAAAGCCCGTGCACACAGTGTGTATACTCTTTACTGGGGTTAAATGCTTGCATATATACAATTGCATACACAGCGTTCAGCAGCAGCAGTCAAGGCCAATCAGTCAGATATGTGATCAAAACGACACACGTTGGCTGTCACCGTTTGAAGTCAATGGGGGGTGTAAGCCTGTGTAAGGAACATTAACAGTCGCTGATATTAAACCGAAGTCACTGAAAACAGGACGGGGATTCGCTCTGCTCTCTGTTTGTGTGTTTGCTCGGAACTCTTCAGGGCTTTCTCTGCAGCCAGGTGACTCCAAAATTTCCATAAATATAAACTGGAGTGTTTGGTCCTGTGACACTGGCCTGTTTGTTGGCATACAGGAAGTCCCTTTGACTTTCAACATAACATATGTCCAGATCTGCTCAGGACACCTGTCAGGATACAAGATGTGCAAAGGTTTTGAAAATATATATATTTTTTACAATTTTTTTTTTCATAATCTTGAAGTTAGAATTACACGGGATTACACCTTTTGCAAGAGCATATAACATGAATCACTCTCTCCTAGAATCAGACAGTCAGCTTTCACAGCAGGAGGCACTAATGATCAAATATAACCTGCTGTCATCTCCATTGTAGGTGAAGTAAATGCGCATCATTTGATTTTATGCATTAAACCCACAAGTGAACAGGACAAAGCTGATTAAAATACTAACTTAATACTGCATGTAAATAGTGCCTGTTAATGTCTAACACCAAAACTGCATGTCTGCCATTACCGCTCTTGGAACTGTACACCGAATAAAAAATGTGATACTGTGAGTGTTCTTTCCATGGGATTAGGTGTCTGGTTAAATGCCACTCGAAAAGTCCCATTAGTTCATTTCCCTCGTGGTTAATTAACATCTGCTCCTGACCTTTCCCATTGATAGGGGCAACTTTATCTTGAAAGTCAAGGTTACAAAACTATGTATCAAAGCAGATTGATTACTGATCACTGGACTGGAGGAGAGAGGCTCTGGCTAACTACTCCGACTCCAGTCACTCAGGTGAGAGTAAGCAGAATGAGACACAACTGACAAAGATTCAACTAATGAAGTAAAGGTAAAATTTTAAATGTGGTTCATATTAAAGCAAAGACTGAACAGTTTCTGCAGCATCTTTGTATCTGATTTAGTAGAAACATGTGTGTGCCAATTCCTGTATTCTCTACATTAGACCATAATTTCAGAGAGGTGTTGGTGAAACAAAAATGATAGTAAAACTCATTGTTATTTGATCTATTTCTTATACCTTCATCAAGCAACAACATCTGGTGTTCAAAAATAAAGTGTTTGCTGACAAGTAAAAAAAAAAAACGGCAGCTTCTCAAGTGTCCACTTGAGGAAAGCTCCGAAAGCCAAAGAAGGCAGCAGAAATATCGCACTACCAAGACAATAAATCTTTGTCCTCCATCCTTTATTGTATCACACGACTAAAAACTTATTGTTTTAATTACTTATTAATTTTGATTTTATTAAGCCTGAAAGTTATGCATAAATAGCGCAGCCAATCCAATCCATTCTGATTTATTTATATAGCACATTTTAAAAAACATTCAAGTTTAACAAAGTGCTGCACAGTAAAATTAAAAGAACAAACACTGCAGGGGAAAAAAAAAATTAAGAGAAAATAAATCTAAATCTAATCTAAAAAACATCTAAAAGGAAATAAAATAAATGAAACAAAAACACAAAAGCATAAAAGAAATAAAAGTGATAGAAGGACCATAAAAGACATATAAGGATATAAAAGTATGTGGTTAATGTGACTGGACTGACAGTTGGAAGCATTGTAAATGTGCATTTCTTAGTATATATATTTTTTCTTTCTCAAGTAAACTAACTGGAGCATCCAAATTTCCTTGTTTATAATATTAATGACGATTAAGTGAGTCTAAATCTGAGTAAATCTCCACTACATTTAGACATTTTTGCTGCGTTAGCCACAGTACGTATAAACTGACTGCATTATCATAAGGGAGAATAGGTCGCTTATGGAGGCAAACTGGTTGCACCCGAGGCTGCTCTTGGTCCTGCTGAATGGACTTATACTCCTATGCCATTATACAGCCATTATGATGCAGAAGAAGACTCATCAGAGCTAATGAACACCAGTACATCATTAGATTACAGATCCACTTCCACGCTGAACAGTAGAGACAGTAAAGTTTTCAGTCTGATGAGGCTGTGAGGGCAAGTTTGTGCTGTGTCGTTGGTCAATACACGTTCGGAAACTTCTTTTTTTAATCTTTTGTTGCTCAATCAGATGTTCTCCATGAATACTATACATTTTATATGTATATATATATTTTTTTTTTCATAAAAGTTTAAGTGTTTAATTGTTATTGGTAAATGGAGCTTGAAGACGTGCTTATACCAAACGGGAGGTGTAGGATTTTGTGGATTGACTCGCACTGCAAGAATACAAGTTATAAAACCTTGACTTTTTGCACTAATCATGTACATTTTCATTTAAAGTATATTTCACTATGTTCTGAAGAGTGATAAGAAATTGAACTGATTTATTAAAATAGTTCTCTATATGGTTTAAGATGTAGCTTTTTGGATGAGTCCTCTAATTTGTTTCTCTTCAAATTTGTTCGTTTTTTTTACTTCTCTCTGTCTGACCTGGAATAGCACCCCCTCCACAAACTGCACATAAGAAAAAAAAAACAGAGATATATGAAGCACCTTGTGCCTCCATAATCCATACAAGTCACTTCTAAAGTAGGGCTCTGATCTCTATTCATTACGTCAAAGTGTGTAAGAGACGTTTCTATTACCACACCAGATGTCCAAATCAGCCGTGTTGTTTCAGTGCTTACTGTGCCCAGCCTCCCCCCGTCCCACCGTTTATTTACGTAGGGGAGCTCTGGCGGCCGGGGGGGAGTCCTGCCTAATTGTGAGCAGCTGTAATATCACAGGGCCATCATTAAGAGGGCAACGGCTTTGCGCACAGATTCATAATCCAGCCTGAAATGGAATAGCAGCAACGTCCGCCAACCGCTACTGAATTACCAGATTGTTAGTGTGGCCTAATTTTTACACTTTGTTTATGAAAGACTAAACCGCTCAACATGATTAGCACCCACAACAGTGTGATATTTCTCCAGGGAGGTGGTCTTGGGCAGGAGGGAGGCCCGCAGTGCCCTACAAGAGAGATGCTCAGGCTGTGGGCTGGGGAAGTGGGGACTGTGCAGAAGGGAAAAAATGTGATGCTGCATCCAACAGGTGGTTTAAAACAACAGGAGATGAATTTCTATGTTAAAAATGATCAAATCTTATCAGAGATCAAGAATCACACCATCAGATTACACTAAATCAAAAGTCCAGCAATGAGGTGGATCACAACCAAAGACATCCAGACCATGTCCTGGCACACAATCATAATCTAAACCCCCCACTTTGGTTCACTTCTTGGATCTCTCTCTGTTTATAGAACAAACCTGAAAATAGATTGATGCAACAGAGACAAATAGTGTCACAATAACCTTAAACTCATTTGCTAATGCTGTAAACACACGCATTGGCAGAGTGCTGAGGGTGCCCTTTTTGTCATATCTCCTTGTTGATATTTGAATTTGTCTGTGCATGTTAGGACTCCGAGTGTTTTCATAATCTGGTTTTATTATAAGCAACACCGGCCTATGTTGAAAAATGAAGTCAAAAAGACAACAAGGCGGCCACCGCGGCCATCCGCTCAGCAGGCTAGACCCAAGTGGACCACACACAGTGCTTCAGTAGAGTAATGCATAAAGGAGATATTAGAATACAAGCACACTGCAAACAGGCCCCTCCAGCCACACAGACAGCGTGCTGTCTCTGCATTCGTGTTTCTGTTTTTATATACAAAGCAGTCATTGCGATAGCGTGATTGCAAGCACCTCTTTTGAATATGAGCTTTTTGGTATTGCATGTAGACAAAAACAAACTTTGGTTTGTGGAACATCAGGATATTCACATCCTGTATTTCAAAGTGTGTTTTCTGGATGCTGTCTGTGTTTGTGTGTGGGAGACAAAAAAGAAGGAAAAGCACAGCAGAGGAAAAAAAGGATTCAACTCTAGATAAATGTTTGGAGAGCTCTTAAAAAAGAAAAAAATGATAAATACTGTCCAATGATATCCTTTAACACTTCATTTTTGGATCAGAAATTTCAAGGCTAATTTTTGCTGCTGTTCCTTTTTTGTGTATAACTGAGTGAGGCTCTATGCTGGAATTGGGTAACTTTTCCAGTCACGGTAAAGATATCTGCCTCCCCTTAGTTTATGCCAAAGGTTTATGCAGCTTGACGAACAAGGTTATTTCAAAAGGGCCCTTCTCTATTTTCATGAGCGAGGGTATGCAGATTATCATCTCTACCAGCGTGCTGATCTCAAATCAACCCCTCATTACCGGAGCTTAGCTAAGGAGACACACCATCAATATTAGATGACAATGATGGGAAGAGGTGGAGGGCCACTCATAAGCCTATAGGACCCTACTCTCCTCACAGCACATTGTTCACTGCAGAGCCGAGGGACGCACGCAACATGAGAAGGTATGAGTCATGACAGGTGAGCTTTACGATCATGGCAATACAGGAAGCATGGATAGATGCTCTGCTGCATTTTCAATGAGAGTGTTCATTGGCTCTGTCTTTCTATTAAACCCAATAAGGATTCAGCCTGCAGTGTGTTGATGATTTATTCAAATCATCTCAGTGTGCAACAACTACAGAGCCCCTGAATTCCCACAAGGTGGTGATTTTTATCTGGTGCTTACAAGTTGATTATCTTCTGCACAAAAGATATAACGTTATGCAACTAAGTTGTTAGTTTATGCAGACAAGCTATTATCTTGTGTGAACAAGATATTAAATTGTGCATTTAGGGACACAAAATATTGTATCGCGCATATAAGGTAATTATCCAGTGCACACCTGTTAAATGTGTGGTGCACACAAGATATCTAGTGTGCATAAGATATTCTGGCATACATTCAATGTATTTTTGTGTGCATAAAATACATTGTGCACCTGAGATATTGTTTTGTGCATGCAAGATGCTGTATTGTGAACTCAAGTTACAAACCTGTGTGCAATAGTTTATAATATGGTACACTCAAGATAATAACATGAAATATAATATCTTGTGCACACAAGCTAATTATATGGGCTGCACATGATATTAAATGCTACATGAACACAAGTATTTACTTATGTACACGACTCATACGATTTTATGCCAATTGTATTTTATGATATTATTTAGGGTGATCATATTCTGGATCCCAAAAAAGAGGACACTACTATGCAAGGCGGGGTCGAGCATAGTAAATTTTGAGGATATTTCGGGTCGGGTTAAGTGTTTTTTACGTGCTTCTAACTCAGTTAGTCCACGCTACTCAAACGCAAAACTTTAATACAAAACCCAAGACATTGGAAGGATTTTATAAACTCCTCTGGACAAGGCCGGCACCAAAAAAGAGGACACGTCTGGGTAAAAGAGGATGTATGGTCACCTTATATTATTAAGCTATAGTCATAAAATGAAAGAAATGAAAAATAAAAGCTAATAATATTTAACTTAAGTTGTTATTTTGCTCATACAAGTCAATAATCTTATAAGCACAGGTAAGATATCTTGTGTGCACTGTCTATGTGAATGCAGAAGTGGGAATGATTCCACTTGCCAACAATTGCCAAAACATGGCACTAAAACTCTTTTTGGCACCGATGCATCATTCAGAGACAATAGATTTAGTGATAACATTTCTTAAATTAAGTTAAATTTGGGATTTTGTAATTTCAATAAAACGTATCAAATGTTTGATTATTACGCTGTGGTCTTTTTTAAGACAGTGTTCACCCTCATAATGGACCTGGAATTTCATGTAAACATTACCAGTTATACGTCAAACTGGCTTTTAACGTCTGTGAACAGAGAGGTTGATGAAAAGAAACGGTCTCTAAGACTTTTCAGCTCCTCTGGCTGCTTTTTTTCAGCAGTGAGTGCTGCACTGAATGAAGCTCAAGGCTGACACGAGAACGCCGTAGCGCTCACACAAACCTTTTAAAAAGTAAGTGTAAAGTAAGTATGTTTATATGTTAACCACCATAAACTATCCCTCTTGACTAATGTTGCTGACAGATTTTGAGAGAAACAACTGAGGCCCAAGAAATCCTCAAGTAATCTTAGGTATTTGTCAGCTTAAAACTTGAGATAGTGCAGAAACTACTCGCTGTTTTACGTCTTAGCAGTGTTTCAGTCTCAGTCTTTTTAAAACTTGTTAATTGTTATGCTCTCTTGCCTTCAATATCCATTCCCTAGAGGTCGCATCACCTGTAACATACAAGTATCTGCAAACAGTTCACTAACAAGTCTTGGTTTAATCTTTAACATGACTTTGGAAATAATTGGGTCTTCTTTCTTCTCTCATCAGACCAGGTCTGCCTCTGTCTGCAAGTTCAGAATGCTTCTACAAAGTGTCCCTGCTGGTCCTCCAGAGGCAGATCAAGGTCAGGCCAGGAGTTGCAGGGACAGTGGGAGAGTATTGTGTGAGTGTATGTGTGTGTTGGGATTGGGGCTGGGGAGGTAGACGGTGAGAGAGGGACACCTCAGGACCCTGACAGCTCCGGTTGCCTGAGCCACGACCGCTTGGGTGCAGGAGACTAGCCGCAGATCGATCGTGGCGGAGCTGGATCCCTGTGTTGGGGGGGGCGGCGCGCTGGGACTGAATGACATAAGCCCAGACGTCTAAGTGTCCCATTAGCAAGACAGCCGCTCATGTCCTGGTGCACTCCTCTCCCTCCCCTCCCTTAGCAACGCTGGCATCATATGGAAAACAGCTCAGGTGTTCCCTTCAGCTGTTTGAGAACGAGGATGAGATGAGAAAACTCACAGAGAGGACAGCAGCTGACTCTGGGGCAGCTACAGCTCTGCATGTGGCACTTCTGATCCTCCATATGTAACCGAAGCAATTATAACTTTATGGCCTACATAAATCTGCCAAAGGAGCTGCAGCTCAGAGTGCATTTGTGTATGAGTGTTTACATACATTTGTATCTTCGTATTTGTGCGTTTGCATATGTTTACAGCCATCAGAGCAAGGGGGGGCTTTCAGGCCACGTGTGTGCTTTCTCCACAAGACGACCCGCTGTGGTCAGATTGTTGCAGATGATTCCTAAACACATAAGAAATGATGACAAAACAAGAAGGCCACACACAGAGAGGCTGCTGCGACACACTGCCTGCTGGGCCCAAACACAGAGGAAGAGCCAGGCGCAGCTCCACTCTGGTGGAGAAACGGCCCGCATGTTTTATTACTCTTCCCACCCTCTGGAAATGAGCATATTTACATGTCCTCAAAATATGCTGCAGGGCTGTGATATCCTGCCCACAGTGTCCATCAAACTCTTTGGCATGCCCTGATTATAACATGCTCACCAGGACTGAGTCAAGTCAGGGATTTGTAGCTAGTAATATAATCTGTCAAAAACATAAACAGCTGTCTATCTTAATGAAAGTAGAGAACTTAAAGCTGGGGAACCAATTAAACTGGGTCTAAATAAAGCTTTTAAATAGCCATAAAATGGAGTCGAAGAAATAAAAGAGTGACTAAGATACTGCCTGTTTGTCTCCAGAGCAGCCATTTTTAAGAATAACTTGAGCCCTGCAACTTTTAAAATCACCTTGGAATCAACGATCTATAGACGTTTATCTTTGAAAAGAGTTTTGAAGTGGTTATAAACCCGACCAAACATGTAACTGATGCCTTGATATGAGTAACAAAAACACACAAAACCATCAGCTTGAAGCCTGACTACTTTGATACAGTTGTTTCAAATACTGTTTACAGTTTTTATGGGAAAGAGTCTCACTGAGGGTTACACTTGACTCTTAAAGATTTCTCACCAGCTGCCTGTACCCTTTCATGGCCTTCTCTTTGTTACAATCCTCTCTAAGCAATAAATCGTAGCACCTAAAAGATGGATATTTGTAGGCTAAAGGTTCATTTATGCTCAACGTTACATATGGATCTGGATACAGGCGGAGCTCTCTGTCCGTGCTTCGCGTTCTTTTTGTCCGTATTCCTGCACGTATCCTTGAAGTTTACGAATACGGGCCAGATGGAGCAGTACCACGGAAAACCGTGGGGGCGGTATTGCTGCTGTCACTACCTGATACGCATTTCTAGAGAGAAATGAAGAAGACAATGGAGGGGCTTCTATGCTGCCTCCATTTCGGTCTCCTACACAAGATATACATTGCCGTGTCTCTTTGTTGTCTTTGTTGTCAGAAACTTTTGACTCTGGCTTGCCCCCTGGTGGATGTAATGTTTACCATCCCTGCCAATGTAAAGTACGGATGGAAGTGTGTGGGCAGTGACGGAACTATCGTTTGAAACGGACGCGTACATTTTCATACGTTTGACGAGCATAAATGAGCCTTAATAGGCTGCCTGTGTCCACTTCTACAGCTGCTGTATGTCCTCATTGCTGAGTACGAGTATGGCTGCTCTTCCAATATACCGTACATGTTAGTTTACATATTGATTATTTTCTTAAGTTTATGACTTTATTCTCATAAATTAACTTTAGATCCACCAGTTTATGAATTTAGTCCCCCTTAAATTTTCTCTAAGATTAAAAACTATTTCTTTTTGCCTCTGCAGCTTTATTGTTGTAAAATAACAACAGTATATTGTAATATTACAACTTCACTTTCAAAATCTACATTTGTTTATCCGCTATGTGGCTCGAATCTTCTGTATGCATAAGACAAGAACACTTAAAGGAGGAGACACATTGATTTGTCCACAGAAGATGTCAAAATTAACACATCCTAGAACTTCTTCACTGGTGCTTTAAGTTATTTTATATTTAGGTCAATTTAAATGTTTTATTGTTTTACTCTTCTTATTGAGGCGTAAACCTTACTGTTGTGAATTTAAGCAAAACGGACATGCTAGATGTATTATTGCATGGAGTCAGAAAGTGAATAAAATGCGCATACTCATGTACGAGTAAGAACATTGCATATGAGTTGCTCTGCTCCAGAGTTGCACACAAGTCCTGCATTATTTTTCCACTGTTATCACAATAAAAGATAGATGTAAAGTCTGTGTATTGACTTCGATATTTAAGCACTCACTTATTTGGCAATATCCACCAAAAACAAACACCATGAGGTTAATGAAGGCCCCTTGGGTCCTAGCTTTTACGATTATTAATCCAGACAGCTTGCTGATAAACTTTGATGATTAATAGTGTTGCAATCGCAGCACGACTCTTTCTGCTTTAAGGTTTTCCTTTACTGCCATACAGTGCCGGTGATTCACTCGGTGACTGGTGAGATTAAAAAAAGGATACCACTCTAATCTTGCAACATGAGAATGTCAGTGGAAAATGATGCACGCATGAAGCCACAGACGTATTTGATTCCTTTTGTTAAAAGAGATGTGAGTTACACAAATGATGGAGCGGAGAATGAATCAGTACAGGAAATGCTCTCTTGCTAAGCCCTGCGTGTGGCCAAGAGAGACGGCCATAAACAAAGCTGCTCTTTGTGACTCCTCTTCACTCTCTAGTGCTCTCTCTCTCTCTCTTTTTCTTTCTCTCTCTCTCCCCCAAACTGTTGGCCTGATTCTATGAAGTCACTCACTTATCTTAAAGGTCTTAACATGTTTCATGAATCCGCTTAAAAATTCACACATTTCTTCAAAACTCTCTGAGAACTCACTAAGCAGTCACACTGAAGGGGATCAGCACGCCTGGCCGGAAATGTGGGACATTTGGGGAAACAAAGGGAAAATAAATACTGTCTGTATCTGAATTATGCAAACAATAAATACACCATGGATCATGAAACTCCAAACCTCTGAGCAACTGCAAACACCAAAATAGTCTCAGAGCACTCTGATCTTGGGAGCAGATGTTCAGGAAGTTTTACTCTCTGAGTCTTTTGGAGGTCCTGAGATGACTGAGAAGATTTAGACGTCTTGGAAGGCTGCCATGTTTGGCTGCTGCATGAAAAGATTCGCTTGTTAATACTATTCATTTCAGGGTTAGTTAAGCTACACTGTAAATAAGAAAGTAGACAGAAAAGATTTATTCATACTTTAACCATACATAGTTATTAAAGATATTGGATAAAAACTGTATTTAAGCACATGAACTTTTTTGCTTTTATCTAAAAAAAAAAAACAATTAACAGAGTGCACAAATCTGTCTTAGTGTCTCATTTTTTCCCCCCTTTTGTGTTTTTCCTTTAATAAAATCATATTTAAATGAGTAGCAACCATTGCTGCTGGTAGACACACAAAACTTATCCACCATTATAAAAGAGAAATTTAAATTAGCCCACTAAAAATACAACATTGTTGAAAATATCTTGTCAATAAAGCTGACTTTATTGGAAAATAGGTTTGTGATATTAAAAAAATCTATATTTAAAATTATATTTTAAAAAAATAGAAAATACTTAACAAATTTAGCTTTACATTTGTTTGTATAAATGCTTAAAAGCTTTTGACAGGAGGAAAAAACAAATCTATGAAAATAAAGAAAAAATATATTACTTTTTGAAATAATGACAATTTCAAGTCTACTTAACCAATTCATGATTATTTCAGCCTTTTTAAGAAAACCAGCTCTCATTGTCACAGGTGGGAATCATCTTGTGGATAAAACACTATCTGAAATGGTTTATACAAATAAATCAAATTTTAGATTTGTTCACATTTTCATTTACTCAGAACAAGACTAATAAATCTATATGAGAGCTCGATCCCCTTTCAGCCATCTTGCACCATCATATTTCTACAGTAGCACAGTACAACTTGTCACATTCACATTTCTATATTTGCTGACACAAATTGTGCGCAACAAAATTTGTACTGATAGGCGTCTGATGATGAAAACTTGACAAATGGAGGGCTTCACGTTACTTGTCCTGTGCACCTGAGGTCACCATACTGATAGCATGTGGGATCAAGGATTTGACTATAATACTAAATATTCTTATTTCTACACACAGCACCTTTAAAATAAACAAGATATCAATAATCCTTTCTGCCTGTGCTCAACAACAACAATAGCTGCCACTATAATTGGTTGTTTGGTGAATTTAAGCTACTTTTATGATCAAACTGGCACAACAAAAAAAGATTATTAATCACCTCTTCTTTGGAGGAGCTGTCATCTTCAGGCCCTTTACAAAGTCGATCTAAAATCTAACAATGTTGTCTAACAGGAACTGTATCTTTTAAATAGGGTGACCGTAGGTCCTCTTTTATCTGGACATGTCCTCTTTTGGGGGCAGTCCTGGGGGGAGTTTATAATATCCTCCAAATGTCAGGGGTCATGTATAGAAGTCTTGAGTTTGTGTAGCGTGGACTAACTGTTTTTTTTGTTTTGTTTCAAGGTGTCTGTTTGATATAAAAAGACATGATGATACTTAGAAATGTGTTTATGAGGGAAATGACAGTCATGAAGAATTATTTTGAAACACAAGTGAGGAGAGTTTTTGAAGTCAAGCTTTATTCATCTTTATACAAGGAAATAAACTTTTGAATAAAATAAAAAAATATTTTTTTATTTTATTTTGTATGCTATTATAAGACATAAAGTAAAACAAACCATCTCAAAGAGTCCTTATCTGACTTTGCTCCTCCTGGAAATCAGATTCAGCAGAAAGACAGATAGGCTGAGAGACAAAGAGATAACATTGCCTTGATCCTCTTCTCGCCGCGCTGGCCTAATGCATTCTCCCTCTCACTCACTGTAATTGCGATGCAATGATGTCAGCATGACAGGAGAGACCGAACGCGAGACAGCGTTGAATAAGCTGCCGCCTCAGTATCAAGAGCACAAAAACGTATCTGAGACACTCTATGGGGTGTCAATTTAATCATGCTTAAACCAGGTATCAGCTTCCTGCATGATTCCACCATTGACAAAGAATCCTGCCGACTGACTGCGCTGCACTGAGCAGAGCTACAGACTCCTGCTTGATAAAGTGTCTGTGACTGACACGCTCACTGACACACACACACGCACACACACACACAACACTTCCTTATAGCATTTGACTGACAATGATGTAGATGACACAAAATTGCACGTCGCAATGAAACAACAACATGGAATCCAACTTATCATTCAAATACAATGTCATTTTTTTCTTCGTCACATTTCAATGAAACTGTTTAAATAAAGATATTTAAAATAATTCAACACTAAGTAAAAAAGAAAATAAAAGTTGCTGCTATGACTCACAGAAGTAATCCTGAGTTAGCTCTACCTGCAAAGTCAAACTGAGTCATAGCACAGATACCCCCACCCCCCCCCAAGACACACACAAACATGTACCCACACATACATACACACAGCCTCCCACCCATCACTGGCCCCCTGGCCCCCATAGACAGTCTGCGGGCAGACAAGAAATAATTCATACGGCTTCCCACACTGGAGTGGGTGTCCTGTATCAGCCTGTGCGCTCCACTGCCTGTCTGTTATCACCTGCAATTGAGGTAATCCACAAGACTATTATACTGCAGCTTATTGTACAGAGAATATAGCTGCCTGCTGCACCACCTCCTTGCTTCAACACTGCGCCCCAATCTCCACCATCACAGCAAAACCAAGCCCCTGGAAAGCTGGGAGTGTTCAAACTCTCCGCACACGTTAGCTGATGGTTATAAAACAAAAAAAAAGTCAGATGTTCTGCTTAAAGCTCCAATGTTTAAGTATTCACTTGTTTTTAAAACAGACTGAGATGAACACTGGTGTCTTCTTATGACCCTGAAAAGCAAACAAGACTGTTAAAAGAATAATGAATATTTTTTTTTGAGTTATTTTAAATGGCAGAAACCAATGGCTGAGTTTGTCAGACCAAGACGTTGACTTTAAAGCTCCTGTGAGGAACTTTTGATTTGTGCAATTTTGGCACTCCTTGTAGACAAAGCAGTGTTTTCCTCCTGGCAAACACCCTCACTCAGTGTTGCCAACACCTCAGTAAGAAGAGTCGCTAGTGGCTGTCGTAAAAGTTGCATCATTTTTCAGAGTAAGAATGTTACTCTTCTTGCTTTCATAAATGAGTCTCCAAATTTCTGAAAAAGACGCTACATTTGTTGCTAGGTGCTTTTTTGAAAATGAGTCGCTAAGTGGTCTGTCGCTACCTAATCCGTCCAGGAAACCCGATTTGTACAGTGCATGTGCGAAACGTACGTCACTTCCTCTACTAGCCATCTTTGCACCAGTTCAGCAGTTCTTTGCCCCTAGCGGTTTGCGACAGCTTCGACACTTGTTCAACAGCATCAGCGAGCTTGCTTCAGTCAGAATAGATGCTTCAGTTTATCACCAGCCACGCACTTTTCTCCTGAGTGCCTCCCCTGACTGAAGCAGAGCACCAGAAAGTCAAGAGAACGGCACCCAGTTTCAGGAATAAAGGCCATTATTGGCAATAAAGAAGTAAAATGAAATAAAATTAAAAATTGGAGGAAGACAGAAAAGCTTTGATAAGTGTAACATGAGCTGAGACGTCATTAAAATGAAGACATTAAAATGAAGACATCATAAGAATCTGTGATACCCGGCCAACACAGGAACCCAACCACAAAAACCTGAGACCAAGGGGACTTTAAAAAAAGACATGTAAAGACTGTTTTATCCACAAGGCTAGAATAAATACAATCTCAATATTCATGATGGGAGCTTTAAGTAAAATCTGCAGATATTACTCTTCAAAAGCCTCACTCTTCTTATTTGACTGATTTTGCTTTAGTAAATTAACTTTAGTTTAATGAGTTTAATTTGATTTAATTTTGAACAGTGTAGAAATGTCTAATCTTTAAAAAGTATGTAGGTGACATAGAGTTTTTAAAATAACAGCTAATCAAAAATAATATTTTTCTCTCTCTGGAGTAAAAGGGGTAAAGATTGTGCTAAAAAAAAAAGTGCTGTTCTCCCTCTGTATTATAAAACAGCAGTCAAAGGGTTAAATAATTTAACATACTAAGTTGCAAACTCGCTGAAAAATCCATGCTCCCACAGCCTCTCATGTTGCCAGAGAGTGCATTGTACAGGGAATTGTCAACATTCCCATGATGAGCCTGCAGGCCCCTGTGGTCCGAGGAGGTGTCGAGATGAAGTGGGGACCAAAATTGATTGTAAATGCTGAATTATTCAACCCAGCCCTCCGCCATTTGAGTGAGTTTCTTCGGTTACGTTGAGAAGAGCTTTCATAGCAAAACAGGAGAAGATTATCTTCCACAGGCCCCCGTGGAGGCCCTGAACGCCTCTCATTAACGAGACAAAGCATCTACAGCCCAGACACACAGATACAGGCGCACTGACACAAATTTACACACACACACTCACACACAGACACACACACGTGCATGCCAAAAGTGCTGCTGACATTGATATCGCGTCACTATACACACTCACTGGCTAATGTCCAAAACATACAAAGATGCTGCGAGAGCTTAAGTGAAAGAAGTATGAAAATGAGTATGAAACTACTAAATTACCCAATTCCTGAATGGTTTTTAAAAATGACAAGTCTCTTAACGCGAAACCATTTGAAAGTGTTGCTGCTTTGATATGCTTCATTTAAGTGTTGCTGAGAAGCTCTTTTCTCCAGTCATTAAAATATCCCTGAAAAATATCCTTGTAATGTTTGAATTTGCATATTTACAAGATTCCTCGAGCAATCCCTCCATCTCCGTTAATAAAGAGAGGTAAAAGCGATATAATGAACCCAGCCTGTCAGTTCAAGGGCAACAGTTGTTCTTTTTTATTTAAATATCATCTGAACCCGTCCTCAATCTCAGCATGTGCTTCATTACAAATAAAATGCGCGGTGGCTCAATAAAGGTAATTAAATGTGGATGCCTCAGCTTTACAGTGTTGTGGACCTGTTAATACAATTCAGCCCGACTCCAATTACAGAAAATCCCAATGACCTCATGGCCCATAATAAATCCATGTGATCACATTAAACGGGGCAGGGAGTGAGCGAGGCGTTCAGGGGGTCTGTAATGTACTCAGCAGGAACAAAACGAGCGGTTTCAGGATGCCAGAGATATGACTGCAGAAGAGGAAACTCTAGCTTTGCACCGCAGTCCCCTTTGGCCCGAGCTATCATTAAATGACTCGCTGAAATTTTAATTCTCTGATCACATTAAGTGCTTTTGGAAGACAACAAACTCTGCAGCAGAGATCTTGGCGGTGTCATCTCCTCGTGGGGAGTGATATAAAGGTCCTTAGGTATAAGGACGCCCGTCCTTTTTTTCAGCGCTGGTGTCTTATGGAGGTTTAGGTTACACCTTTGCATAAGATGATGGCTGAGTGTGACAGGTCGTTTCACCAGCTGGACATCCTCGCTGTCCTGCACGTCTCTTAGCAGCATGAAATCAAACAGGTGACAAGTCATCACAGGGAGAAGCACACTGATGTATCACTATACTTCTGAGGACTCGTGGTAGTGGCATTTTTTTGAGTGCTAATACAAATCCCTAAATTAACTCGTAACCTAAGTCTACAAGTTTAATCTGATTCTGAGCTCAACTCTGTCAGTTTTTTAAGTGTAATATGTCTTCTTACCACCTCTTCATAATGCCTAAATTTTCTCATGGTGAAACTGTTGAACAAAGACATGTTTGACAGTATTACCCTGTAAAACACAATAAGCTTAAAAACGTGTATATTTAAAAACGACTACATTTTCCAGCTTTAACCACTTCAGGATCTCATCGTATTTTACTTTTCTGCTCCTCCTGCTTAAATAGCATTGTTTTGTTTTTTTCCACAGCAGGCCCCTCTTTATTGTAGTGTCAGAATAGTATCCATATAATGCTAATGTATGAGATAAATAACCAAAAATGGTAATAAAAGAGCCTTTGACACATAAAGAGCTGCCCTTTTAGCTACTGGGACTACAAGGAAAGTCAACACTGGGCTCACAAATGATTTTCTTTTTTTCTTTTATTTCAGATATGTAATATTTTTCATGTACCTTGACATGTTTCGGCAGAAACTTCCACCTTCCTCAGAAGTGTCACTTCTGACCTTCCTCAGAAGTGTTACTTGGTGACACTTTTGAGGAAGCGTCATCTTTAGCACCAACCTTGGACTGGTCGTGCTCTCTACTATGCCGTAATTTTGTGATTCTTCAAAACTTGGACTCTGTGGTTAGCCTGTGTGTTGTTTTGAGGGAATGATCAGATTCAACCAGCCTTTTGGGCAAAACTGAGGAAAGTAGAGCATCCTCTTCAGCCAAACTAAAGTACAGGTTTCATAAATAACTGAATGCACCGTGTTTTAGCAAATCAGCACTTTATCCAAGAATCTGGATTTTGAATCTAATTTGCAAGGAACTGATGAGGCAGGGCATAGACAGCTGATTGGTCCTCAGATGGTGAGTTTAACTCAAAGACTGTATATAGAATGGATGTCGTCTGCCTCATCGCTGGGTGAAGCCACCGTGAGAACAGCACCCTCTGGTGACAGGCTGCAGTATAGGTCATAAATCCCGCCTCCTCCAGCAATCCCTGTGGAGCTGTGGACAAACTTTAGAAATTAATTACACAGAATACACATTTTTCTCCCCCCGGATCCCCAAATACTGAGAGCAATTCGGCTTCAAATTCGTATAATGACAGAGGGCAGAGCCAAGGTGTCCATAGTATGTACAGTCTTAAAGTATGAGTATGTACAAAGTTAAAGAAAGAAAACAATCTTTAGCCTTCATAGATTAACTACAGCTTGTACTATCTCATAAAAATACATTACTCGTACTAAAATGCACATAATTGTATAAAGCCAAAGGTGTTGTTTTCACATGTTTTCACCCCTTGAATTACACGCATTTCCACTAAGTTAGCTTTCCAGTATGGTATATGCTAAAAAGAATCATCAGTAATTTGCATATTTCATGCAAGAATCAAACACCTCTCCTCATTCACACTTTGATTTGCAATACACAGGATCACTCATCCAGGTCATGCAGATACAAAGCCCTTTAAACATCCACTCTGACCTCATCAGTAATTACAGGTCACGCATTATGGAAATTGGTTTTGTGTGTGTTTGACAGCGTCAATTTTCTGTCAATATTTTTGATGTAGTGTCTTACAAGGTCTTGCTGTAGTCCTCTTGAGGCAAAGAATTGTGCATTATGAAAAGCTGGTTTAATAAAAGAGAGGGTAGAATCCTCTTTGTGTATTCTGACGGCAACAAACGATGCTCGGCAGCAGCTGCCAAATCAAACATAAACAAAGGAGAAATGTCTTTACCCTCTGGCAGTCTGATGAAAGGGGGACCCACTGAGCCCTGAAGTTTTGGATACTTAGTTTGTAGGAGGAGCTTTTTTTTTCTTTGTCTAATTGATACTAGTTTTATCCTGTTTCAACCCACAGGGAAGCCAAAGGTGATGTTTTCATAAGAGGATCATATAAATAAAGGCTGTGCAAGGAGGGGACCCCTACCAGCAGAGCATCATGGGAAGGGGCTACAGGCTAAGGCCACACAAGACGTCCATCATGACATCAGAGGGGTTAAAGATGACCATCATGCTTTAGCTACATTTTCCTCTGATCTCGAGAATATAGTCTTCATGGAGAGAGTGATCTGTGAAAACTGCTGATTTCTGAGAGTATGAACACTGTTTTGGGGATTCTGGAGGAATTAAATTGGAAGAACAGACAGATTTTCAAATGTTCAGGAGATGTCAGGGATTCAGCATTATATATATGAAATAACACATTATACTTGGAGTAAATACATTTGGCCAAAAGTTATCAACAACTACTTCCACAGTAATTGAAAGTTTCAAAGTTTGCTTGTTCATACCTCACTGGGCAGAGATACTTTTTGAAACGGTTCTTTGGGTCGTTTTTGTAAAAGGTGACAGAAATCTGAAGCTGGAGCTTGCAGTGCTTTTGACCTCTCAGTGGTATTATCTGATTACACTGCTGGCAGCCAAACAATACTACAGCACAGAGGAGCCAGGACAGGAGCTACACATACTGTACACACATTCACTAAACCCAGCCACTGAATGCCTTTCTCCTCAGTTAAATGCAGCATGTGCAGTGGAGCACACAGACTGAAACAGCTTCTATAGGCCTACTGGGTGCAAACCCATGCCAATAGAATAAAGAGAGAAGACATCGTGTGCATTTATAAAACAACTAGAGGAGGGCGTGCAGTGGGGACTTTATACGCAGGAGGAATATCGTAACATGGCAAACCCCCTGAAAAGCTTCTTTATTTTGATCATGCAGCTCGATTATGTTAAAGCTGATCAAAACTGTTCAGTTCAAACCATTTCTTTCATAAGTTTGGAATGTGGATGAACTGATCTGTTCTACTGGTGCGTTTTTCCTGAAGTTAACAATGCTGTAAGGAAGACTTTAAAAGTGTCCCTCACACATTCAGCCTAAACTTGAAAATAAAACACTGTTATGAATGGGACAAGGGCTTTCTCCTTGTGTAACCAGGTTTTACCCTTTACTTTTGAAAAAGGAAAAAAAAGGAGTTGGACTGATTAGTGTTATTTCAAGTCTCTCAAAAATAGGTTTGTGTTTGGATTTTTGATCAGTGATGATGTTAAATGTTTAGATCCCTTTATTATTATTTTTGTTTCTCTTGAGGCTTTACATTGTTATTATCATATGCTCCTCTGTTAAAGTTTCTATAGACATTTGAGATGCAATTTATTTATGTTTTTGTTTGTTTTCATGGGTGAGTATTAAAAAAATACACCAGAAAGAGCTAAGATTCACATGTAATGTTTAGTACCCTGACAAACCTAAAGCTCCAGTGAGGAACTTTTGTTTTTCGTCGATTTTGGCGCCCCTTGTGGTCAAAGCAGTTTTTGCTTGGCTTGTCATCTACCTATTTCAGTAGATAAAAATCTCATCCTGCTGACGTTTGACAGTCAAATGTATTTACTATTGTGAATATTCTATGTATAAAATGCTAAAACAGGGCTGTCTCCACAGCTGCTCAGCTGACACCTACCCCCAATTTCAGGCATTAAAAGTTCAGCATTAAAAAAAAAAAATCACAGTCTTGTCTGTGATGGTCTTGTTTGAATGCGGATACCTTAAAGAGGCATTAATGTGAGTTTGAATTTTTTTTTCTTTATAAAAAAAAAAAAAAAAAAACTTATGACAGGAGCTTTAAATCATTTTCAGTCTTTTTACATTTACTCAGAAATGAATTAAATTCTCATTTTTCTATACACCTGGGCGCTTCAAAATTCTTTTAAGTAACAGTTATGACTCTAAGACATATGAGGATACTTGAGGTAGAATAAACTAAAATTATCATTGTTAACTCTCCTAAAAAAATGGTTTGCTTAAAATCAAACTGCTTCTTATACTACAGCGTGCTCCCTCCAAGGTTCTGAAAAATCCTCATATGTGAACCGTGATTCTCCGAGACAGGAGTTAAAAAAAAAGTTTCCTTTCCCTTTCTATTCAGAGAATGAGCTAATCGTCACAAAGCTGGCAGCTGAAAGGAGCCAGTGAGTTTAATCTGACCACAATGACATGTTTGATTGGTCAGTGCCGGGCAGGCAGGCAGGCAGGCAGGGTGGGTGTCGAGTGTGGCCCTCTCCTGTGGCAGCAGAGAACAAACATAAATCTTCTTCAACAATCTATTTTCCATCATACTTATTCACAGGGGACATCTCAAAGTGGTCTTTACCCTTTCTGTCAATGGCTGCCCTCATCCATCAATTTCATAGAGAATTATACCCCAGATCGATGTAGTTCACGACCGCTGAGCATTTGTCGAGGGGTGGTGGAGGTGCAGGGGCGGCTGGTGGGGGGACGGGTGGATGCGTCACTCAGTGTTCTCATAGCTTCTTTTGCTTTGACCACCCCTCGTGCCCAAATACGTCACACCACACTGCGTAGTTGGTGTTCTCTCAGCATTAAGCTCTTCGTATGTTTCAGCGGACAATGAGCGGTCATAGACAAAAGGACAGATTTACAAATAAATGGAAATGTCTGAATGAACAAATGGAAACATAACTGTTTCAATTATGCTCTGATCCCATGAGTGCAGATTTTTTTTTTTTTTTCTTTTTCAAATTAGGTTAAAACACTTTGGTCTCCATTATTCCACTATGACAGAAATTAAAACATTATGTGAAATGCATACTTACCGTGGCTCATACACCAGCAGGCAGAGGACTCATCAAATAAAGCTTTTAGTTTGGCAAATGGCATATTTATTCTTAACATGAAACAAAAGATCAGGGAAAAAAAAAAAAAAAACACACACGCCAAAGTCCTTGAGTGCATAGCATAGCAGCGCACAGCCTCTTAAACTTAGTCATGTCCTTGTTATCTGCTGTTGTCAAAAGCTATTATTCAAAAAAAAAAAAAAAGTTCAATTTAAGAAGAAGGACACACTAATAATGGGTGTGAGGGACAAGGCCCCGTCTGGCCATTATGGAATATGTCGCAATACCATTACACACCCAGTGACAAAGATATTCAGGCTGGATAATGGAGCTATGAAGAGCTGCAGCACAATGCATAATTGCTCCTTCTGAAACATTGATGAATTAAATTAGGGGGTGGTGGGATCAAATTCATAAATCAAATTACAGTACCTTTGCTTCTGCATGCTTAAACAGTTGAGGACTCTTTAGAAGTGGCTCCTAAATTGCAGGGGGGCTAAAGTAAATGAAGTAGGCATAATTATGTGTATCTTCTCACTGCAGCATTGTCTTCAATGAATTTTTTACAAAGGCGACCATTAGCTACAAACTAATACCAGTTAAGCCTGAGCAAAACTGAATTATTAAATCTGTCAGCCAATATCCTATTACAGCCTACTTATGAATAGTTGATTTTATTTTGTATAATTGACAAGGCTTATCGTACAGTGAGGCTTTCCGTGGCAGCTTGGGTTTTGAGATGTGGTGATACGTATGGACCTGTGGTACAAAAGGGCTGGCTCATGTCAGGTTGCTTTTCTTACAGGTGGGATCTAATGACCTGTCATAACTGCTTTCTGGAGCGCTGGAAAATCAGGCAGCATGAGGGTGTGACACACTTATCTGCTTCCTGAATGCATGACAGACTATTTTATCATGACCTACCATCAGATGAATAAAACTAAAGACACTGCATGTGTGAATCTGAGCTATTACGCTTAACATTTTTTTTTTCTGTCTCTTTTCAAATTTTTATAAAGTTTTTCAATTCCACTCATTTAATTTTTATGAGGGCTGTAAAATAATGATTTTTAAATCCTGCCAAATTACTATACCAAATAGTTTAACAAGTTACTCACTATTTCTACCCCATGTTAAAAGTTACATTATTTAGCATTTTAGATACAGTTTATAGGGAAATTTAAATAATGCGGAATGATTCTTACTCAAAAATAAATATAAGATATGCAAGAAGGCAACTTTATGATCTTGATTCTGGATTCATATACTTTTTGAATAAATGCTGTTCTGCTACATCAGTGTGGTCTGACTTTATGTCAGGAAACAGTTTTACTGTGGTAGTTCTGTTATTCAGGATTACACTATTACAGACCGAGAGATATGCAGGTGTGTGTTTTTAAAAATGTGCAACACATGTCAGTAAAGCGCAAAACAGGAAAACTCTCGAAGCTCTGTTGAATTTGGTTGTTGTCAGAAATTTCGAATTTTCCCTTTAGGATTCATAAAGCTCTTATCTTTTTTTTAAAGACAGCCTTGCTCTAAAACAATGTACAAGTAAAACGTACACAGTCCCAATGGCAGTGGGCTGAAAGAAGAAATATCGCCACCTGCTGCAGTGGAGGCAGACATGGTTCTGTCAACAACTCGATTCATGCTAGGTGTTTATGAACTAGTACAAGGACACTAGTACAATAACATAATCTCATCAAGCCATGACTATAACTCAAGTTAACGCTTTATGTAAACATATTCATATTCAATTTGAGGTTTATTGATGGCTGTTTAGAAATGCTGAATTAGTCTAACTTTCAGTCGGCCTGAAGAGGGGCAAGAGGGTGTAGAGTTTAGACCTCTTTCCTTGTTGCCTGTTGCTGCAGTGTTCCAGCCTGTTAGTCAGCAATACCTGTATTTATGCAAAATACATAACCTTAATAACATATAAGAAAAAATTACCTCTCCTTAAATGTGTGAAAAAAGAGAAATGAGCAGTTCAGAGCATTTTTTTTCTTGAAACCATTTATAAACTTTAACTTTTGCTGTCAAGATTTTGAATGGGTGTGTATGTGGTCACCAAAGCTTTAGGATCCAGCCTCAAGTGGACATTTAGGGAACTGCAGTTTTCAGCATTTTTGCATTAGCTTTTTTTTCCCTCAAAACTGCAGGTGTTGCCTGTTGGAAAAGATGCTGCTAAAGCTGAACCACAGTGTGCTAAGAGGGACAAAATACATGTGTTTTCTTTTTCAAAGTCTGTTTTGGACCTTGAGCTCATCAGTACTGCGGTATTAAAGCTGTCTGTTTATGTTCGACTCGTTGCTGTTTATGGAACGGATTTTGAGTAATTGGCTGAAAAGTTGCACACAAATACATCTCATGTTTTTTCTTTTCTATATGAAAAATACTTTAATCTTCTCATTTTTTGGACTTTCAGTGACTGCATGGCAGAAAATTACAACAAAAGCAAATCAGTACACAGAAATATGCTGCTCTATTTGTCTCTCTCCCATCCCTCTCTAATATGCAAATCCCTCTCTTACACACTCACACATACACACTCTTAAGACATTAAGTCCTCAACCTGGACTAGGCCTGTGAGGGATATTGACATGTACACGAGATTGATGAAAATTACTTTGGGAGCATTTATTTCTTCTAATACCACTGAAAGAAGAGTGTGCACTCAGGAGATATTTGATCTGAATTAGGGAAACTGATGAAGCAATTGATTAATTGGAATTTAAGCCATCAGTCACCGGAGCCATCAGCAGCATCATTTACATTCCAAACAATCAGCTGATGGCCCAATAGGACACTGAGTATTCATACCAAAGAGTCAATGCGATACTGCCACGTCGCCACCAACCCGTATTGACAGGAACAATGACACTTTTAATCCCCACTTGATCAAATGGCATATATTTTGGGATTTCCACAGCACTTCAATAAATCCTATGAATTTTTAATCTGGTAGGAGGAGCAGAGGGACTAAACGATAAAGATTTATCTTTTTTCTTTTCTCACAGTGATCTATGATTACCAATTACAAATTCTCACCTTTTTCTGATACAGCCATTAATTGTTTTTTTTATACGGCCTGAGCCTTTCAAATACACTCAAGTATTCTGATGTTAGTGGGCCGAGTGATTCCCTTTTCATGCAGCCATCCTATTTCAAATGCTCTGTCGACTATTGTTGAAACAATGCAGACTGTTTTCATACTAATGATGGTTAGGTTAATTTGATTACCTGAAGTGAAAAAACTAAGCTGAATAGTTTGACTGGTTATTGAAAACATTCCTCTAACTACTGCCACTGTTTGCTAGAATATATGTTAAATATAATGTATAGTGATTGGGTGGCTATCAGAACTCAGAGCCCTCTTAGCTTTGCATTTGTGTCCGGCTTATCCTGTTTTAAACAGCTTAATAGTTTTTGCTTACAGTTAAAAACAAAAGTCCCTTTTGATTCCCAGACAGTAATGGGCTTTTATGAGCCTTTTTACGGTAGTTAATATTAAACTAAACATTTCAGTTTACAGTCAAGTTCAGGACCTCTGCTGGGATGTATGTATCTGATTTCATTTTTATTTCTGTCTTTATTCAGCTCTCCCTCTTTGACTCTGCAGTTGTCACATGTTTAAACATAAATTATGCAAATTTCATAACTATTTATTTTGAATCTTAACATCCACCAAAAGCTTTAGTCTTGATTAAATATGCAAACAGAAACTGACATTTTACAACAGTGTTGACAGGCAGAGGTACAAATGTTGAACCCCTTCATAGATGATTTTCTATTAAAAGTATGATCCTTTTTTCCCTCTTTGCTGTTAACATTAATTGTTGTTTTGGTATAGGGTTTTGACCAATCAGAATGAGGCATTTATCACAGAAATTAGTACTAAGGAGGGAAATAAGTACAAAAGAAGTAAAAAAGTACAATTACCTAAATGATGTTGCCTAGGTACAACTGCCAGTCTGTTAATCTACTGACATAAAAGTACTACTTACATTTAGTGTAATACTGAGATTTTCCATAAACAGGATATAAAACTTATTTGAAGGAACTTATTGATCGAGCACTGGCTTGAAATATCTTGAAATAAAATACCCATACCTGAATCTGTAATGCCTCTGTTGCTTCACGTTATGTGAAAATAGATAGCTATTTTGTTTAGAAATAAGACAAGATTTTAGTTTTTGCAGTATACGGACACCATCCAATCAGCTGACTACCATGCAGTAGATGAAAAAGATTGTGAGTGTGTATTTTTAGCCGATTTATATGCAGTGAATTAAATCAAATCAAATACCATGCCTTGACCAGAAAAAGAAAAAAAACAACAAAACAAAACAAATAACAAAAAAGACTAAGTAAAAGTTAAAAAAAAAACCCTCTCAAGTACTAAAAAAGCTTCTCAATGACACTGGCTTAAGTAAACAAAACTCTCCACCCCTGCTTTTCATCACTGCTTTTGGCCAATAACACCAATTTAAATATATGCAAATATTGGATAAGTTTTTCTCAATTTATTTGTGTATACTGCTTGATTGATTGATTTATTTGATCTAGCATCAGACTTCTCTTGTCTTGCCACCTGACCTCTTTACATTCAAACTTTGTGTTAAATATCACTCCCTCTGTTGAGCTTCTCTACAGTCTGTCTACAAACTTCACAACGACTAAAGTGACCCTGTAGAGTGTGAGCTCTTTGCCAATTTTCAATTACTGTTTAGTGACATGCACACTTTCATATTTGGTAAAAACAAAGCAAAACATTATGAATAATACTGAGTGGCTGCAGGACTGAAATATGTAATTCAAAGCTGTCACCTTCACAAAAGAATAATGAGGGATTATAGCATAGTTTGGAAGATGTTAAATCTACTTTGGCTCACATCCTGGAGATCACAAGTTTTTGCTGGCACTGGCCTATGATGTCATCAGTAAGGGCCCTTACCAGAAAGCTTTTGATGCATTAGCAGTGACATACACTTTGTGATTTATTTTGACATACACCCTAACAAGCTTAAAATGTTCCCAATATAACAATATAAGACTGTAAATACCCATAATCAGCTTTGGAAACTGATACTTTCCAGCGAGGGCCTGCTACAAAATATCCCCAAAAAGTCATGTAACAGGAAATTCTTGGAATAAAAATAGAAACTATGAAAACATCATGAAAACAACAAAACACATCATGATCTATGAGTCAGGCTGTGAGGCATGATGCTGCAACTCATAAAAGGACATGCACAACCTTTAGCTTAGTTTCAACAGACTACAAATAGTTTTTGTCCTCATGCTTTGGCACAAATTCACAGACGCAAACATGAATTACATGCCGGGCTATATGATTCACAGAAGGCACTGATTGTTCTTCCAAAGTGCCCATTACAGAGGCCTATCATTGCAACATCAAACCCTCCTTCCCATTGACAGTGCTGACGTTTTCCCACTTGGCCTGAGCCCCCCTCTGACAGCCAAGCCAGTAATGCCCCTCTACCCATCCTCCTCTCCCCCAACCCCCTCCTCTCCCTTCTGCCTTTCACCGCTGCCCTCACTATGTTTGATTTTGCTGAAGAAGTTAGTCATTAGTTGAAACAGCAAAGTGTTGTAATGAAATCTGCAGGCCACATCAATAGTGTTTACTGTTGCCAGTTTGCTTTGCTCCATGCTTTTTTAATTTATTTGTTTGGTGTGCCGCCGTACGGCATCGCTGTAATGATGTTCATCCGCTGATGTGTGAGAGTGCGCAACTTAACTCCAGGAAATATCTGCCTGCACGTGGATCACATATCTGTAACATTTATGAGCTTCTCAGTGTGAAGCCTGCAGGTTAATCATTTATCAACACCTCATCAGATCACGCTGATGGATCTTTCCATATAAAAGCACCTTCCTCTAGTTGGCAGAAAACTGGGAGAGGTTTTCTGCTCCAACTGTGTTCTTTCCACCACAACTCCAAGCTCTAATTAAGTAGCCAGAGCACTAAGTAACACAGAAACAGCCAGCAGGAACTACAGGAGACAGGCTGCACAGCTACAGAGGCAGCAGCAGGCCCACTCGCTGCGCTGGTTTCCTCAGACGGGTGTCAAAACACCCCCGGTCTGCCTCCCATCAACTCTCCCCCACAGAAATAGGAAGTGAGCCACTGAAAGAGAAGATTAAAGTTTTCTGGAAGTATTGCTGGCAGCTGCACATGCCCTAAAGATAAACTTTATCCGGCTGCATGTGCAAAACTTTGCCGGAGCCATTTGTCATCTTCCAAAGTAATACATTTCTAAGTGGCTTGTGTTTGAGGCGGGAACATGGGACGGCCACCGCTGTGTGGTCAGTGAGCGGGTCCGCTGTTATGATGCAGAGGAAGAAGTTGGAATCAAATGTGTGCAAGGAGAAAGAAAAATGCTCTTGTTTGCCACTGTATATGTTTCTTGACTTACATTAATTCCCCCAAAGGAGCGTAGACCAATCCCTCTGCACAAACATTTTACCGAGGCCCGTCTCAGTATCCAAAGCTGTGGAACTGACCCTTTGGACCCTTTTTCAAGAGAGACCTGTTCACTCACTTCCCATTCCAACCGGTCCAACTAGTTTAATCATTCTACCTTTAGCTCAAAGCATTCAATAAGTCTAATAAAAGGACCTTTTACTGCTTATACCTTAAAGCTATTACTTTAGGATGGAATTTGTTTTCCAAGTCACTGGCAGAAAACAAAGTTATTTATAGATATATTGTACTTGAATCAGATTTAAACCCCAAAACTTATACTCTTTGAAATATGTAATCCAACAGTTCAGGAAAGTAATGAAAGCATTGTGTGTATCTGCTGATAAATTTAGCTCTTTAATACTTCTGGTCCTGTGTCTAAAAAGTAAGATACCAACTATATACCAGTGTGATCTACTGTAAATACCAGTATGAACTGCAAAAGCAAGCAGCCGACTTGCTACACTAAGGTGTGCCAGTCTTGCAGTGCATCTTTTTAATATTTTTCTTCCTCACTGGGCCAAGATCATATCTTTTAAAAAACAGTAATGTGCTAAACCCTTCTCCTGTGTTAGGGTCTGCACCGACCCGTTTTTGTTTTTAAATGCTTAAAAAAACCACATAAATTAGCTTTTTCGCATCAAGACGTTTTGACTTTGTCAGCAATCTCTATTTCAACAAAATAAGAATTTAAAAAATTAAGTTGACTAAATTATACAATGTTCTTATTAAAATTATGGCATATGTCATGTTAGGGTTGCTGTTGACCTGGTTAGATTAAAAAAAAATCAATAATTAGAGCAAAAACTAAAATCACACGTGCGATGTCAGGCACCACACTGACAGTCAGATCCTCTTTCAATCATGGGAGATTTAGGAAATTCTCATTTTGCCTGTTTTTTTTTTTTTTTTTTTTCCTGCACAATGCACAACGTCAGGCATGTCAAGACTTGTGAGATTTCTGTGTGAGGGGTATACTGACAAAGAAAGGCCCAGAGGCCCACAACAAAAACTATTATAAGCAATATTTTTATGGATAATGAAGCCTAACAAGGTAACCTAGAGATGAGAACCAAACTGGATAATAGAGAATTGTTTTAAGTTTATTTTGCAGCTGATTTAAGACATGGGTCGAAACTGAACCATTAACACAGTGGGTGCATAGTAAAAGCTAACACAGGGGGAAGGTAAAAGTAAATACACCTTGAGAGCATTTCCTCATTTTAGAACTAGTTGCCAGCAGAGTGGATGGAGATGGATCTCAGCGAATTGATCAAATGTAGAAGACCTGTTGCTTCCTTACAACTATTAGCCTGGCCGTAGGCTGAATTGGTGTTGTAATGACTCACCAAACCTGAATTTAATCCTCATTATCTGTGTTATTATTTATACCCAGTCAAGACCTGAAAATAAATGTAACATTTATAACAAACAGGGTGACTTTAATCCAAGTCAAGTCATGAGGCCTGAAAACTAGGACTCAAGTTGTCCAAGTCCTAGACTTGACAAAAAACTGACCATGTTCTCTGTACTGGTGAGACAAAAATTCAGGCATCTTATTTATTTATTTACAATATTTTTTTGCATGACAGCTCAATATATGCTCTCATTGAGCAGTCACAATGTACAGCTTTTTTTACTCTGCCCAACACACACACACATGCACTTACACTCACATGTGGACAAACACATACACACACCCGGCCCTTGTGCCAGCTAGCCATCTGGTCAGAACATGATCATCATATGCAATCTGCCCACCCAGGCTGGCACTGATTCACCAGACCGACACTCCAATTACCCTCATCATGCCAACACTTCAGCAGAACAGCAAACAGTGCACAGTGCACACGCTACAATGGGACCCACCTGTGCAGGGGTGGAGCGACTGCCAGAGAGACTTGTAAAGAGGGGCCAGTGTATGGTATATAAACTGTAACACTCTGCTGTAAAATGACATGCATTCACAAAACAGTATAGCATTTGATTAACCTTTTTTATTGTGAAAAGGAAAACTAACATGATATGTTTTAAGGGAGGGTTCATCACTCTCCAAATCATCTGTCTTCATCATCACAATGGATTAGGGCTACAAGGTCGTGACCTTTGAGAGATCAATAAGCAAACACAGTCAATGTCCACCCGGTGTGTGTGGGCTGCTGCTGCAAACATAAATGGAGAAAAGAAGCTTTCATTTCAAACAATCCAAGTATACGGGGAAGTTTGCTCTGAAATTAAGTGCAAAAGTTTCTAAATGATGGATTGTGTCTCATCAGTGAAAGCCTGACCGCTACTTCTGTGCCCCCTATCAGCTGATAAGCCCACCGGCTCAACATTGATCTATCTCTCAGCCCATCTCCCTTTTCTTAATTTTAATTTTCCCATTCCTAACCCATGCTAATTCCTCCCTTCTGCTGTATGATCCATAGAGCAGAGGCCTCGGCAGCACAGAGTGCCAGCAAGGGTCACTGTTAATTATATCCATTTAATACCCACTTATGTCTGCAGCGACGTCTTCCTCCTGGGGTCACGCAGACTTCGCCCTGCACTTTATCCAATAATCTCACAGAATATAGGCTCGGATATTCCAAAAGATCAATGTCATTAACAAGGAGGCACAGAATGCATTTGATTATAGATGTAATTAGTACAGGCTTGAGGGGACTTACCCCTATACACAAAGAGGCAAAATCCATTTAGTATCAAAATTGCCTTAAAAATGGACACCACTTTGAGATCATTTTTGCAACTGATGACCGCCATAATGCAATCAGTATCTCTAATGACAGAGAATTAGGACTCATATACATAATACTTGTGTCTAACTTTGACTGATAGAAAAGAGCATTAAGTGTGGCTGAAAGCAAGTCATGTTCCAAGTCGTGGTGAGAGGGTTCAATTTACCGTCACCAGTCGCACTCTGTAATGTTGGATTGGGTGTTCGTCTGTTCTTTGCCAATTTACCTGTGGAAAAAAAACTCAGCAATCCTATTGGGTGAGTGTCTCTGAGGACCTGTGAAAGGTGACACTGTGGATGCTGCATTAAGAGGATGAGCTTTTAATAATTCTGTCACACGGCCGGGGAATATCAGGCCAGGATCACTTTACAGCCCAACTCTGCTGAACATCTCACCATCTCTCCAAATGAGAGGCCAGCCTCATTAAAACTCTGTCCCCTGCTGACTTTATCTCTGCGTCATCAGATCGCTCTTCTCTCCTCCATTTCTTCCTCTCTTTTTTTGTGTCTCCAGCATTGTCTCTGTCAGCTTTTTGATATCACAGACACACCTAGAGGCGTTGCTGTCCATCAGAGATGCGCCGGTGTCAAACAACCAGGTCAGCCACAACTTCAGCGAACAACTAACTAAGCAGTAACAGATCATTTTCAAACCTTCTCATTCAGTTTTAGTTATTTTTTGTGCACGTGTTAGTGACTAATAACCTGCTCTGGTTATCAAATTAGAGATCTAAGTTACTTTTTGTCACAATAAGCTCTGCAGTTTCTTGCTAATGTCTGTAAAATAGCTACACATCACTCTTCAATGAGGGCAATTTTGGCGTGCAGTGAAAACCTGTTGCAAAGGATGTGAAAAAGAACAGACAAAAAACGACAGCAGCAGCAGGAGACTTATTGTGGCTTGTATTGGATTGCATTGGCCTGAAACTCAAGCCTATGTGGTAACAGGGTACAGCCACTTAAGATGGCAAGATAGCGGTGATGATGGACAGTTTAATCTTTTATATAATATCATCAACTGGTTGTACTTTGTAGCACGAAGAAAGAGGAGGCTGAGCTTAAGTTTCCAAGTGTGTATCCCTCTTTGAAATGGTCACAATGAAGTTAGATAACCTCATGATGATAGAAGATTTTTTGGTCTTTTACTCAATGCCAGAGGCTAAGGTAACTAATAATCACCGGCCCACATGGTTCGAATGTCGGATCTCGTATAAATTTATAGGCACGGACATGCAGAGGGTTTACACGTGTTCTTTACATGTTAACAAAACCTCCCATACTTCATCAAACATCTCATAATACTCAATTACAGGTCTGTATACGTCCTGTAGATTAGAGGACCTGAACACAGGATGGAAAAAAGGAGGGGGAGGCCTGCTGCATAACGTCTAGCTGATTTTTCTTTATAGTCGACTACTTAACCGCTGTAAATGCACACATGCATAAATCCTTCTCTGTTTTCCATCAAGCTGCTGTGTAGTGGCTATGTTAAATGTAGGTGGTAAGCTCATATATCTAATTATACAATAGCCAAACATTTTTTGTTAATGAAATGGAAGGAGTGTAATTGAAAACTTCGGCATAATTATTGCTTGGTGAGTAACCGGCTTCGGAAAATTGTACATGTAGGAAGAGGACTCAGCAGGGGGACCTATGACTTATGAATGCAGCCATTTCAAAAATCTTTACGGAGCACATGTGCACTTGTATGCGCAGACCCTCACACTTTATAATCATTATTATCTCATGGATAAACAGGCAGCTCAAAACAGCGACATTACAAACACTTTAAAAGAGAAATGCATGCTTTCCTTTTGCATAAACTTTTAGTTCGCCTCATTTACTAAAAAGGCAAAACACATTATCCTGATTGCCTTTAAAAAATTCCCCTTAAAAGCGAGAAATGAGAGTGTGTTTTTTTTTCTATGTGCAGAGTGTGTCATGAGTTAAAAAAGGTAAGGGTATGGATAGCTTGGGACATCACCTCATAGGTTCTTACGCAGAGAAACCAGAGCAGCCAAGACACATAAAGCCAGGTCAGAAGAGCTTGGCAGCCACGCTAACAATGTTTGTCACAACTGCCCTCTTTCCATCCCAAGCTCAAATGAGAGAAGTCAGAGAAATATGGGATTACCATGAGTTATTTATGACGCTGAAACCCAAGAGCCCCCTTTATGAAATCATCTCTGCTGATTGGGTTTTCTTTCGTGGGACAGCATCTGATATGATTTCAAGTGGATTGACATCAAAGTAGCTGGTGTAAAGTATGAGTAGTTTTGCACACATTCAATCAAAATACAGATCTTTATCGGCATCACACTGATTGACATGAGCGGACTGTTGTGAAATAGATACTGCAGCTGTCATAGTCATTATGGATTTTTCTGTTCAAAGATAGAGCCAAAGGGGAAGCAGGAGGCATTTAAACTGAAATGTGCTTCAGTCAGGAAATGGGCAGTGAATCCAGAGACCTTAAGAGAAAAGAAAAGCCTTTTGAAAGTGTACCTTTCATACATCTCTTGAAGTAAATCAACATTTTAGTGCTGAAACTAAGCTCATCCAATAGAAGAATACACATACAGCATAATTGTCGACATTTACACTGTGTCACAGGACTGGTACACGTGAAACTTTTACAGCTGTAGCAATAGAACTGCAATCTTGGTGATGCTGTTACTCAACAACCAGGTTCAGAAAACCACACCAAGCTAAGGACTGCACAAGGATGCAATCAATGGCAGTCCATACTTAATGAACTTTCTGACCTTTAAGAAAATGTACACTGCTTAACCAGATTCTGTGTATTTAATAATTCAGTTAGAGAGCAAGAGAGCTTAATAGAGGAGCATCTCTCACCCAATATAGTCAGGGATATCATTTTGTCCTGAGACAACAGCTGACGTTATATTGCTTGGGCCAAGAGAAGAAAAAAACTCATTATGGAGACATCCATTTGTGTGGGTTTTAATAAAAAAGACAGAATGAATCTCAGGCCCTGGACTAATGGGAAAATCTATGCAGACATCTAAACTCCCAAATGAGGGTCCGGGACATTTGCAGTCATTAGTGCAGAGATTGTGGTCAGTAAAGTGCATTTACATGTATGGACATTTCTTTAAAGAATATGCTCCTACGTAACAGAGAGAGGAGAGGAAAAACGACAGTAGCTTGATCTGCCATTGAGATGTTCTGAATGGGAGATCATAGGTGCATTATTGATGAGTCTCAGTTTGAGTTTCAGCTCCAGAGGAAATGATAAGGTGTAATGCAATGGTCTACTGTGATCATGGACGGCTTCGTCCTACATACTGTATTGCAGGCTGCTAATGTGGTAACCTGGTGCACTATTATGCACCTTTTCAGACTGCAGTGAAAGCAGTCTTTAGCTAGTGTGTTAAATGAGGAGAGACCTCAGCCTGTCAGATGCGGGTCTTTTACATTGAAATCCAGTCTTTTACAGATCACTCTCAACTTTTCTGGCATATATGCAAACTGGTTAAGATTCACAACTCCAACAATTTAGTAAACCACCAGTTGGTCATCTTCTGCTGTCTGGTTTAAGCAGTCAAATTATATTCATCTTGGGATTTCTGAAAGACTTAAGGAAAGCAGTTTTAACATTTAAAGCAGATATCCATAACGCTCCTCATTAGGGATGGGAACTGGTAAGTTTCTGCTTATCGATTCAATTCTTTAACAATTCCCTTATCAAGGCCTTACTTTGATTTAAAAAAAAAAAAAAAAGAAGTAGACTAAAGGTTTTCACTGTTAACTCAAAATTTTATTGAATCTCTGATAACAGAAAAAGATGTATGCCATGCTTTGCCGCAAGTGTGAATGGGGTTTGCTGCAGGTCAACAGTGGGGCTAGCAACATTAGCCAGAGAGCTAACACTGCCAGGAGAAGCAGCAGATGCACTCGGTCCACTGTCGCTATCATCTAAAAATAATCAAACGGCTATAAACTATTTGTACAGCATTTACTTTGGTCGGTATTAAGTCAAACACATAATACGTTGTTAAGTCTGGCATGCATTGTGCTAATGTTAATACAGGACATACCTATGACCCAGAGCAGCAGCGGCTGACACCCAGAGGAAAGGAATCATTAATGGAATCATTGAGATAAAACGTAAACAATGTTGCTGGATTGAACCATTCGGAACCGGTTCTCGACAAGAACCAGTTCTCGATTCCCATCCTTACTCTTCATGGTATAAAATGGTTCTTTTTTTAACAGACACAGCTGTAGCTCAGTGGTGGAGTCTCTGAATAAGAAGGTTGGGGGGCAATCCCAGCCCCTGCTGTCACATGCTGAAGTGTCCTCGAGTCAAGCACTGCACCCCAAACTTGTCCAGCTGTAGAAACAGAGGAGTGTGTGAAAACATGTGAATGAAATTATTTAAATTTGATTGTCCCAGAGTTTAGCAGCCTCTGCTATCAGTAAATTAACGTAATGTGAATGGGTGAATGTGACAAGTAGCGTAAAAGCACTTTGAGTGGTCAGAAAGACTAGAAAAGTGCTACATAAGTCCAATTACCATCAGTGATAACTGTTATCTAATGTATCCACAATGACAGTCTTCCTTAAAGAAATGAAGTGACTTTTACTATTCACATGTATTGGGTCTTCAATTTCAGATATCCACAGCTTCATTCTAATAATCCAAAATAAACATTGTGGAAAATTAACAAATAAATCATTTTGGGAGAAAACAGATATCTACAGTTCTGCTGCTGCTACTTTTAAGTTGGCTATTTGAGATGGTTTTTCTTTATTTCTATTTTATCTTTTTGTAAATATGTTTCATCTTGTTTAGCCATTGGTGGTGGTTAGTACTGTGGCCTTACAGCAAGAAGGTTTCTAGTTTGAATCCACGGCCAAGCATGGGCCTCTCTGCATGGGGTTTGCAAGTTCCCCCGTTCTGTGAGTTCTTTCTGGGTACTCCGGCTTCCTTCCATGGTCCAAAAGCAAGATCATTCGATTAATTGCCCTTAAGTGTGAATGCGTGTGGTGGACTGTCGGCATGTCTAGGATGTACCCAACCTCCTGTCCAATGACAGCTGAAAAAGGCACTAACCCCTGTGACCATACACAGAATAATCAGGAAAGATAACGTTAAGACAGTCCAGCTATTAAATGTTATTGGCTGTTGTTCAGACATCTAGAGGGATCTCAGAGAAGAGCTTTGACTTTTCCTTGCCATGAAAGGAACCAGCTGTAGTGGCTTGGGACACTAATTAAGATGTTTCCTGAACACCTATCTTTAGATGTTTCAACTGAGGAGATCCAAGGTCAGACCCAAAGCTTGGCAGCCTGGGACCACCTCTGATTTCTCCAAAAGGATTTGGAAATGTTGCTTAAGAGAGGGATGATCGAGTAAACTTGCTTTGCCTGCTACCACCAAATCTCAACCCTGAATAAGCTGAAGGATACAGATGGATGGATGGATGGATGGATGAATGGATGGATGGATGGACATTGCTGGATAGATGGATGGACTGTCAAAGTTGAATAGGTCTATTACCCCATAAAAATTGTAAAATAACGATCTCAAAGTGCTCACATTCTCAGCTTTAGGCACTAACTATCAGTGGACAATACTGTTAGGTCTAGGATGACGGCCAAGTTTTGGGAGCTAAGGGTGCAGCCTTTGGTAGAAGTAAAGGACTTCCAGCCCAAACACTCTTTCCAATGTGTTTCCATGTCAGCAGTCTGACTAGCAGCTGTGAAGAAAAGAGTGTTTTTTGGTGCTGAGAGACATAGTCTCAGACCAGATCTTTGGCTGCACAGTATATATAGATGCCTGTTTGTAAAGGCCTTAGATAGGTCAAGGTTTTGTCAATCGGTAGCCAGTGAGATCTAGGATTACACCAGAGTGATCTGACTGTCATAGCGAACTGAAGTGCTAAACTTCAACTACCTAAAATGATGTCATCTTTAGATTTTGTATCAATGCACAAAAACTGTAAATATAGATCAATCAGAGCTAGCATGGGCAGTTCTCCAAGGCAGATACATAAAGCCTTTTGAGACAGTCTCCAACAGCTTCTGTTGGACAAAATAACTGCCCAGTAAAGTAAAGTATATATGAAATGAAGAGGACGGGGGAAAACAATCTGCCTCCTTAGCCAACTTGATTGTTATCGCACAGTGCTTACAGTGTTTTCAGGGCCTGCACATGTAATCAATAACCCCAGGCAATTTTAAGCGTGATCAGTTTGGATGGATTATTGCCTGGCAGGAAGGCTTTTACATCGATCCTCTCATCATGTCAATCACAGACAGTGACAACTCTGAACTCTTTAGATCCCATACATCAGCAAGTACTGCTCCCTATCTGGCTGCATCAAAAAAAAAACAGTACGAGTCAAGAGAGTAAGACATGCTGAGGATGGAGTTCCTGTTTTTAATGCAACATCTAATGTGCTGTGTGATAGGAGGCCTACTTTTTGTATTTGAGTGTTTTTCTTTTCTTCCCAGTCCTGACATTTCCTGACACCAGTCTTAAATTTGATCATTAAAAAATAACATCTGAATGATCCGTTACACATGTTAGCATTTGATTTCAGCACCAACAGAAAAAAAGGCACCTCTGCCATGTTGGCAAAGTGCTACTGCAGGAGTAGGTTTGCAAGTGTTACCTTTATTCATTCCCCCAGTGCGGCTGAAATCCCATCTAATGAAGAGCAGATAGCAGAGACTGGTTCAAATCAGTGGTGGGAAACTGGGGCTGGCTGGTGAAACACAGAGTGAGTTGTAATATCCTCAATTTCTCCCAGCTGGAGCAGGCTAGAAGCATGTAACTGATAGTGTCTGCATGCATATTTTACACTACAGAGCAGGTGTAAAGTTTCAGCACTTGCAAGGAGCTGAACAGATTTGACAAAGATAGACTGCATGAAAATAAAGGAAATTAGCACGCTTTCACACAAGTCGCTGGTAATTTGTAGCCCAAACAGGTCAGATTTAGAAGTTTGGAAAACTTTTTTGACATGTTCATCATTGCAGAACGACAATATGAAGCATAGCAGTAGTTCAGGCAGGACACAGAGTCAAGCTAAAGGCTACAGTCAGCTGATCTTGAGCGAGCCCTCAGTCAGCTGACAGCTCAGGTGATCACCCTCTACACATCCTATTGGCTAATGTCAAAATGGCGCCCTGTTTAAACTGCTCCTCCTGCGTACTCTGCCTGCTGCAACCACTCTGAAACTCACCTCCACCCCAGCTCCTCCTGTTTATGTTGTGTCTGATCTTACAAGTGTCATATTGTCACTGATGCTTGCTCTGTTCTGTGGGGAATTTTAATTTATTTATCTTAATCGTATTTATTTGCTGCTGCTTTCTCTGCCTTGGCTTTTCATGTATGCACATGAAAGGGAGGGGAGGAGCTCTCCCCTCTTATAGCCGTGGCGTTCCATGCAAGCGCATGGAAAGGCAGGGAACTCTAACTCTTTTTTTGTCTTCTATAATTTTGGTCACAAATACTCTGAACATTTTGGAGTAGTTTTAGGAAAGGAATGAATGATAAATTCTATCAAACTAACCTGGTGAATGGTTGTGGCTTTGTTCGTGACGTGCAAAATATCGTCAGTGGCAACAAGAAAGATATGCAAAGGAGGTGGGGATTTGCACTGCACTTGTTGCAGATAGGTGACAAAATGAACAGCGACTCAGTCTGTCACAGGAAAGCATATATTAACAGAGAGATTAACACTTGAAAACAACAACAAATAAACATGATTTTTGTGCCAGTGATGTATAATAAGCTCAACAACTTTAGCCTTTATCATGGGGAAAGGGTTTCTGACAAACCCTTCTCATTTCTGTTGTTAACAAAGTTAACCCTGGTTGAAGAAACCTTGCTGTTTATCACCAAAAACCTCATTAGAAAAAAAATCTACTCCTGACTAGCAAAATACATTTACGGCTAGTTTTAAAAGCTCTTCATACACACCTCCAATAAGCACATTTTTGCTCTCTGCTGTTTCTTGTCTACATTCACTGTGGCTGGTTTGGCCAAAGACTCTCCTGAAAAAAGCAGCTCATGTCGGTCGGTACCCTTCTCTACCATTTAAAATCACCCAGTCAGCCAAGAAACAGCATTGCCTTAAACATACCAAAGGTACTTGTAAAATTGCTTTGTACCAGTTCTTCCCAAGACAACCCAAGAAGAGGAATTTGTCCCTAAAATGTTAGACAGCAATAAAGTCTTTTTGACATACATAACTTCACTTAAGAAAGAGAGTTGAAGTCAAAGAAGTGGATTATGAGGCACATAACAGCACTGCAATTACTGCAACTCTATAGGCCCATGCACCAATAACACAGTTAAAGCAGCCGATTAAAGCCCAAATAAGTCAATATTTATCATTGCATAACTCAATTGCAAAACTCCATTTTCTCATAATGGCCTCTGATAATGAGGAAGCTCTTCATGGTCACATGACCCAAGTGGAGCCTAATGATTGGACTGTTACAGTAAGTCATGACGGTTTATTGGCATGGAATTCCATAATGGCGCAGATCAATAGCAACCCAGGAGGCTTTCCTCTCAGCCGGATTTGACACATTTGAATAAGTGCCGCTGAGGGGGTAAAGGCTTGTCTTGAGAGGAGTCGATCCCTCAGCCAGCAACGACATGTAAACCAGAGGGATATTCATCTGCTAGGGAATAATACTGACATGATGAATGCTGAAACAGCAGGTACAGAATTAGGAATAAAATTTTCTAGTTTTAGGAACGGGGTGATCATCAAGAGTCATATAGTTTGAACAAACAATGCTCAAATGCTCTGAGAATAAAAGATACAGACTTGTGCCCTTCTCCCCTCTTCTCCTCCTCCTCTTCCCCCTGTGAGATCTCTGTGTTGGGAATAGAATAATATAAGGCTTGAGGGAGCAGGTTGTGAGATAAAAGGCCACATCACAATGATGATCTCTATCGATCGGCAACCTTGGGCACACAGAGGAGGTCCGGCATTTGTCACGTCGAAGCTGAACCCAATAGCTGATCCACGCCGCTCTCTGATGAATTGGCCCTGTTCACCAAGTTTGTTTAATTGATGACGTGTTCGCTTTCAGGTAGACCACCACTATATCCCACGCGCTCATTGATTTTCCAAAACACCCCCACCTTTCCCCCAGCTACTTGTTCCCGCTTTTTAAAACACCTATCTGCAAAAGATAAACCCACCCCCAACTTGACTAGACCCCGACAAGACGGCGAGGGAGAAGCGTCCTTCAACAGGCTTACAAGCGTGCAGCATCAGACTTTCAGACATAGACATACAGTGCCTCTTTGTTAGCACAGAGGCCTACGAGATGGATCACTTCAAAAGAATCAAGAGAAGAGAGCAAAAGTCAGGGGGGTTTCTTTGCTCACATTCCTCCTCATAGACGCTGAGCTGGGGGCTGGAAATTGTCCTGCATGCGAAGACTTATTCCATGTACTTCAATGTCAAAACAGTTACAACACTCATGTTAAGTGCAAGCAGTTTTCGTTCCTACGTCAGCTTGGTTGGTGAAAAACCATCACAACATGACCCAGTTGGAGACACTAGCTCGCTGGTGCTACCCTTCACCTCAAGAGCTCACGTGGGTTGGTGGTAGGAGGTATTGAGCATTCATCCAGTAACACAGATGTGAATTCTAAGGTGGATAAAGAAAACGATGTGGACTTCTTTTTGTGACAAGCAGAATAGATATTAAAGTCCATGGCTGTAATGTCAAATATGGCAATAAGTTACATAACCCTTTAAATATATGCTTTGTAATAGGGTAAGTAATGCATGCTGTAAGTTCTGATTCTGTTTTATTATAACACTATCAGTGCTTGTCCAATTTGTCCTGCAATTTTAAAATATTGCAATGACTTCTTTGAATGAGCAGTATCAGTTATTGCCTTTTTTCTTATGTAGAGCTCCTGTGAGGAACTATCTATTTAGAGCTCCCTGTCTCCCTCATCCTGTCTTCTACATGCTTGAGTAGTGACTTTTGACTGAATACCTCATCATATCGGCTTTTGACACTCAAATGTTTCTCCTATTGTGGAAATTTTGTGGGGGAATTGTAAAACAGGGCTGTTTCTTCAGCTCCTTGGCTGTCACCTATGCCCTCTCATGCAGATTCCAGATGTTAAAAATTACAATATAATATATATTAATAATAAAATCAGCAATCTCGTCATTGATTGTCTTGTTTGCTTTTGAATACCATATCAAAGGATCAATATGAATTTCAGTGTATTTCATAAACATAAAAAAAAGTCTCACAGGAGCTTTAAACACACAGAGAAGTACGATAACAGCGAGACAGCCCACAGGTAGTATTTACAAGATTGGTAGTCTGTAACAAGTACAGTTATGCTGCCAATCATGGTCTCACCTCAGAAAAGCTCAAAAAGGACTGAAGTCACATGCAAGTTAACCTCAGCTAATGTTGTACCAAGGTTATGTTTGTACTGGGCTGTTACATGAGTAATTTTGCTTTGGACATTGGCTTTTTTTAAATGGGTGTGTACACTGCTTCCAGTACTTTCTGAGCCAGCCTCAAGTGGACACTGGAAGAACTGCATTGTTTTAGTACGATACATTCATAATCACTTGCAAGACGGAGCGCTACCGCAGGTCATTCCTCCCTTCTGCAATAAAACTTTACAATGAAAAGTAATAAAACTGGACTCACACCACCACTTTTTTCTGGCATTAAAAATTGTGTATATTGTATACAGTTATATTTTTCTTCTCCCTTTTTCCTTTTCCTAATTTTTTTCTTTATAATTACATTTATTTAAGTTCTTAATATTATGATCTTTATTTTTATAACTGCATTTTTGCACTCCTTGTCTGTGATGCTGCTGTGACAAAAAAAAAATTCCCCCATGGGGAATCAATAAAGGAATATTCTATTCTATTCTACTTGCCACAAGTAAGCTCCGGGCCTTAAGACTCCTACAAAGTTTCGATTCTACCCCATCATTTAAACTTTCTGACTTCATTTGACAGTTTAAGTCTTATTGATAAACTGAAAGATTCACAGCTTGAGCCCAAGAGGACAAGCCCCACATATGGTGCAGATTGCATCTCTGCTGGTATTGGGTCGCCTGCCATTTTTGTGCTGCTCTTAGCGTATGCAGCTGCCACAGTATTTAGCAGGAAACACTTAAAAAATATTACCAAATGTTGATTATAATAACTACTGATGACTGTTGGATGCATGTAATCACGTATAATCAGAAAGTTTCAATGTTAACCAGTGGCATCTTGTTCAATGACAGATACCAAACTGCTGATTCCTCTGTATACCAATCTGTTCAGGTTTTAAAATGCTAACCAGGCTAAAGTGCTCCATGCCTCGGCAGCTCTCAACAATCCATAAGGAAGAGAATTTGAATTTTTAAACCACACAATCCTATTCCAGGGGGATCTGGAGTGCATAACTTTGTCATCTTGAGAGCCTGCATGAAAACTAACACTTGGCAGCGCAGCCAAGCAACCATTCATGCGCTAGGTAGGCAGCTTTTGGCCATCAAAGGGAAATTCCAGCCCTAATGGGGTTTCAGAGTTTCCAGAGTATCCGTCCTCCATCCACAGTGAACACTGATTACCTGAGGAGTGTTATCACACACACACACATGCACACACACACCGTTCACACTCTCTTAAGTTTAGTATTTCTACTTCAGGTGAAATCACATACCTAAGACGGACAAAAAAAATGAGCGTTGAAGTGAGTTTAACGAAATTGCGATGAGTTTTCAGCGTCATTTTATGGTGCTTTGATTTTAAACAGATATAAAAGACAGCTGGCGAAGCAGCCCAGCGAGCTATGGATTGACTCAAGAGCTGAGACATGGAAGTAAAAAACAAGAGGAGCAGCACAAACAAAGGCAGAGAAATTGTGCAAAAAGGCACACTTTTGGATTTAAAGCACCTATCTCAGATCCCAGAGCCTTGAGAATGGGATTGGATTACTGTCGGTTAGATTTACTCCTGTGGCTCTTCGCCACTACATCATCGTAGGGCCCCCTGCCTCTGGATCAATGGGGATATTTACTGCGCCTGTTTCAGGGAGACTTTCACAGTAGGCAGGGCATTAAACAAACAGCCGACAGCCCCGTCCCAATGATGGCCTGTCTGTTCACACTGTGCCATGCCCAAATGTCACACATATTCACTTCGAACAGGTAGCACACAAACACGAGTGAAGTGCAGATAAAACAAGAAAAGGCCAGGCAATTTGCTCTGTGCGCTGAACAAAGAGGAGAGCTGCCACATATCAAGAAAAGAAAAAAAAAAAGAAACATCAGAGAGGCATGTGGTGTTAACTTTTAAACAATTAGCCTTGTAACCCACTCTCAGGTTATACTTGTTAAAATCCTCTTAAATGGACACACCTCAAATAATTCCTTGTCTGCCTCTCCGTGGTTGCTCATAAACGTTCCCCTTTTACCAGTAAAATAAAATTGCACTTTACATGTTGGACATTCCAGTGCATTGTATTGCTTAATGGAAAAATAAACCTCTGTGTGTGTGTGTGTGTGTGTGTGTGTGTGTGTGTGTGTGTGTGTGTGTGTGTGTGTGTGTGTGTGTGTGCTGGAGTCTTGTTATGGAAACAACAATCCAGCAGTGTCATATTTATAACCTCATTTAGCCCCATGTTGAGCTGGGAACACGTCATAATTGAAATCACTTGAGCTCAACCAGCGTCTCTCACTGAGTTTGTGTATGACCAGACGCAGCCTATTGGATCATTTTATAAATCTGAGAAGAATCTCCATTTAGAGCCCAAACAACAGTCTTTACATGCATGTATATTGGCAGTCTGCAAAATCATCTGCTAAATGTGAGCGCATGAGTCTGAGAATGACTGGAATGTATTTTTGTTTCCACACAAATATGAGCAAAATAAGTGCCTTCATGCAAGAAAACAGTCAGTATGAAATTTCTTCATTACTTGACAATTCCACTGACTAAGCCTGTGCGATCAGCTGACAGTGCAGTGTCAAACAATAGGTGCGCGTTATCGAATCAGCCCCGAGAGCTCCCGAGGGCAGGCTTCACTCTGATTCATCAACATGAAAAGTAATATGTGTGCGGTAGTCCAGAGAAAAATAACATAAAAATAAACGCTTATGGCTCGGCGGTGAAAGCTGACGTAAGCTGGACTTAAATGGACCAATCATCACTTCAGCTGCAGAGGCTAATGCGGCTGTTGGCCTGCTGGATTTTATAAGGCAGTGCAGTGTTGCACACATCTTTAGATATATATTCTGTTTTTCTTCTTCTTTTTTTTGTTGTTTTTTTGCTTCTTTAAGGTTTCCAGAGCGGCTCAGGTAATTATCACGGCTAATAGACGTAGATTGAGCACATCAGCTGCAAAGAAACACCTGGGAGAAACCATGCAGCCATTAATGAAAATTGACAAAATGGTCGAACACAGGAAATTCTAAAAGCAGATTTGTTGTTTTGGAGAAGTATCAGCTATTTTATGTTTGTCTCCATTAGTGATTTATTGCATGTTCTTTAGCCTGACATGAAAATGGGATAGAAGTCTTGGTAATCTGACTTTATATAGAGGAGGAATTTAGGATCAAGGCTGTAGTCAAGTGAGTAACATCTGCCAGTGAAGTTGCCTGAGATAAGCATCTGAAAAGTCTTTTGTTCTCAGTGATTAAAGTTAACATGAACTTTTTATCTTCCACCTGATGTGGCTGTGTGTTGTTACTCATGCAATTCTTTTCAATCGCTGACAATATTTTGTTGAAATCTTTTTTTTTTTTTACAAGCCGGAGAAAGTGAGTGTTTGCGTGGGCGTGTGAGATAGCCTGCATGTTCGCACACATGTGGACCATGTGGCAAGTGTGCTGCAGCAGAGAGGAGGAGGCTGTTAACACACACACACACAAACACACACACACACAGAACGACAGAGATATGATGATTTGACTGAATCCCACGTCTCCACTCAGCACTGTCTCACACACTCATGCTGCCACAGCGGCACAGGAAGACATCTGAGTTATGAAGTGGAATGATTCAGCACACAAACACAGATTGTCTCACATAATAACATGTGATTTCTTAATCTGCTCTTTTGTTACATAACAGCCATGACAAGTTTAAGGTTTTACTTATTTTGGCTCTTATTGCATTTTGCTTCATGTTATTTTTAACTAATCTACCTTGGTCATTGCGTAAAGAAGATCAAACCCCCTAAATGTGGGGCAGTTTTTTTGTAAGCGTTGTGACTGTGCAGCTTTTATCTGAACTTTTGCCATCAGTGTTACCCAGAAAAACAAATAATTATAATAATCTATTAGTAGTGTATCATTTCTGACATTCATTGCAGTATTTAGATATCAATCTAAGGGAAAAAAAAGCTACTTTAAGTTTTGATGTTTAATTTTATCTACAGGTCATTAAAGTCCTGGTCAGGGAAGAGCAGCTGAGGTTGTGTGAATTTATTTGTGTTATTTAAATATAGGACATGAGGACACACACATACTTGCACACTCACTTGTACAACTTTTTTTCCCACAGTATTTTCTTCTTCTTTTTTTTAAATATATGCAAAAAAGTTTAATGAACTTAAAGATGTGTTTTTAAAAAAGAAGAAAAGAGGACAAGAAAAAATGTAACTGTCTGGTATAAAAATGACTGTAATTTTGGAGAGTCCAGGAAGAAAAACATGTTGATGAATTTATTGTTTGGATGACAAGTTAAATGTCCAATACAGAAGATTTTGGTTTGCACAAATTTAGCTGGGAATTATCTTAAAGTTGCTTATATTATGGAGGCTGATACTTTGTTGTAAGTCTAGGCCTAAAACACAAAATCCAATATCCTTCTGTTTTCTTCCACCTAAAAAAGGTGAAAAAATGTCACACATAAATGAGGTGGTTAAAAGAATTAAAATGACGATAATTACATGAAGGCGGTAAATGAGCCTTGTAATTGATGTACTCATAGGTTTCTGGTTTTCATTTATAATCTGTTATAATTGAATACTTGTGTAATATGGAATTGAAAGGCTGACAGAGGAGACATGCTGCAGATAAGGAATCCATTCAAACACACACCTGTTCTCTTATTTTTATTTAAGAAGGTTTTGATTGAGTGATGAGTTTGCACTCTGACAAGTAGCACAGATGCAACAACAGAGAACCGACTCTGCAAATTGTAGGAGTGGTACGCTGGAAACAATGAAAACAGCATGTGATAGATAGCTCAGTCAAAAGGTTAACGGTAACTCACAGACAAAACGTCTTTGTTTTTAAAAAGTGCATTCACAAACATGACAAATACTCTCAACTCATGATGTCTATTTTTATGTGATACAAAATATGCATACCTGTTTTAGATTTGTCTGTATTTCTATACATAGATATTTCTTCAAAAGGATCACTTCTTTTTTCTTTTTACAAAGGTTAAAAGCAGGGTTGTGGTCATAGCAGCTTCGGATATCTCTAGCCTCTTTACCATGTAAGGAGATACACATAGTCTCAACAGATATCCAAATAAAACGTACAGTTTTCTCTGTAGTTCAACTCAAACGACATATTGTCTTTATTAAAGAGATATTCATCAGTGAAGCCTGCAGTTTAGAAAAAAAATGGATCAATAAAATGCTTGGGCCATTAAATATATTTTTGTATACCCGCTTTTTTGTCAATATCATAAATACTAAAGACACAGGACAATATTATAAGACAATGCTGGGAGACTAATGTAAAGATTAAAATAGTTCAAACATTATTTTTTTCAAGTTTTCTAGTTCATGAAAAACAAAATTTCAGGCGAGCACAGACAAACTATTCTTCAGTCTTTACTTCAGTCTATCCATGCCCCTTTTATATTTCAAAGAGCATTCAAGGATGCCAGACAACAGCCAGACCGTCATTGAACACATATGTTTTCAGTTTTAATCCAGTCCCGACAAGATGCTTGCCCATCGTAACTGAGGCAGGATCCTGGTTTTCAAAAGAAGTCATAAAAGCAGTCAAACATACTGATAAAAACCAATAAGTACCATGCAAATCTTGCAAGACGACATATTCTCAAACAAGAGACAAAGTATTCTTCGTATAGGCGAAATATCAAGTGAGGAGGGGATGAGTGAAAGGCAAAGACCTCTAATCAATACTAAATACCATATTTCCAAAACCAAACAAAAAATATTTAATCTGTACATAATATAGTACGCACAAGTTCAGACTGGATCAGCAGTTTCTTTCCTTGTTTTCAGACTCTTATGTCTCAAGAGTCTTTGCAAGTCGCCTACCTCAGAATACTAGAGAAAAGTCTTTAATTGATCCCAATCTCTTTGTTTTCCTCCATAAATCTGGAGAAGGGGCGACTGGCCCCCACATCCAGACCAGCCTTCTCCATACCCATCATAGGAGGGCTGCTGCCAGTGTGAACACGGTCCATTCCTCCCGGCATGGCTCCCAGTGAGGTGATTCCAGCACCGCCAAGGCTGACGGGGAGCTGTGTGATGCCTCCGTTCTGTATCACAGAAATCTCATTGTTCTTCATAGCCAGTCCGTTGGTGATGGCGGCTGCGTACTGGTTCCAAAAACCTGGATCAACGTTCATAGCCCGAGCCGCCAGATCTTTCTGGAACATCTCGCTGAACTTCATGGCATCCCCGCCCAGCAGGGCCATGGGATTCTCCACAGACAGTCGCCGACCTCTTCGGGCTGGAGCGTTGTTCCACATGTGTGTTCCCATGTGAACCTAAAAATAGCAACACATGAAAGGAAACATCAGGAGTGTGGCATGATGAGTCACAAATGTATATTCAACGATGAGGCTGGATGGGAAAAAGACAAGTCTAACATAATATGTCATCCTGATACAAGGAGAACTCAGTAACATGAACAAATACTACCAATTTGTAAGGGAAGCGCCCGACTTTAAGTTCTGTTGACACGTTTAAAATTTAATATATAAATTATTATAAATATAAAATATTTTAAAGGTCTGAATCCCTCCCAGAGTATTGCACCTTATATTGCATGCAGTTTTGCAACCCCTGATGTGATGCAGAATTGGCTCATACCTTTAGATTGCCCTTTGTGGTGAAAGCCCTCCCACAGATAGAGCAGGCGAAAGGTTTCTCTCCAGTGTGTGTGCGCTCATGGATCTGCAGTGCACTGGCTGAGGAAAAATTCTTCCCACACGACTGGCAGTTGTGCTGCTTTGGAGTGCGTCGTGGAGGTGGGGGTGCCAACATTGGGTTCATGCTGGGGCTCATGGTGGTCTGGGGTGCTGCAGCAGGGACCTGGATGCCCACTGGCAGGTGTGAGTTGTCAAGAGTCAGTGACTTGCCGTGTCCATTCATTTCCATTTTGATCATGTTTGATGCAGTGCTGGCCAAATTAGGAGTGCTTAGGCCTGAAAAGGAGAAGTCAAGTTGATATTAGAGTCATAAAACGATTAAATTGTGTTACTTAGCAAGCTGGCAGCTGGGTAAAAAATTTAATCACATGGCTCACTGTGTAAATATTGCTAATAAGACTTATCTAGAATGATTAATCATAAATTACAAATGCATAAACATTAAATTGTATAAAAAATTATTCCATCGCTGTCAATAAATATTTTTAGTTTTTTCATGTTTTTTTAAATTATATACAGCATTTTATTAAGTGTAATATGTGCCTATATTTGAATACTTGGTGTACTGCATTAAGTTTGAGTTGATTGTGCTCATACACACCTCGATCTCTGCTTAGGAACAGCATGTTGAAGTGGCTCTCCTCCTTGATAAAGTGCCTGCCAGGTTGAGTGGCAGTCAGGTCAAGAGCCCCGGTGCCTTCACTCGCAGAAAGCGGAGATGGGGTCTCTGATTTTTCCGACTTCACCGTTGCCAAGCCAGCTGTATTGTTCTCTTGGCCCTCCTCTGCTGTCATGGCACTGCTGTTGTTATTATTGTTGAGTGTAGCTGGGGACTTGGATAGCTGGCTCTCAGAATGGCTGTGAGCTGGGGACAAATGCTGCATAGAGCCAGAGGACTCAGACAAAGCAGGGCTCCCCAAGCTTTGACCTTCAGCATCCCCCACTGCAGATAGGGAATCAGTGGCAAAGCAATCAGTCTCTCCTCCAAAGCTGCTGCCATTCTGCATCAGCTTCTGACCAAATGAGCGGGTCATGTTGGCAGTAGAGTCGATCATTTTCATCTGGTTCTCCATAGCAGCAATGCTGGACATGATGGAAGTTGGAGGGGAGCTCCCAGGTGAGTAAGGTTTGGATGGGTCCACTTCCCCCTCCTTCAAGTCAGCTTCATCTTCCATAGCTTGCTCCATTTCATCCAGCAGGTCATCATCATAATTACTCATTGCATCTAAACTCTTCTCGTCAAAGGAGAGGTCAGTATCCATCTCCTGCAGGCTCTCAGGGACAGGGGTATTGGGAATCTGACCCCCCATGTGCATACGGATATGCTGCTGCAGGACGACGGCATTGGTGAACTTTTTCTGACATATAGGGCAGGAGTGCTGGACCCGAAGTGGAGGTTTGGACCTATGGACACCAAAGTGTGTTTTTAGGTTCCCCTTGGTTGTAAATGCCCGGCCACATATTTTGCATTTGAAGGGCCTCTCACCAGTGTGGATACGGTAATGCATCTTCAGAGCACTCTGGCAGCTCAGGACCCGATGACAGATGACACATTGATTTGGATCGGTCATCTTCTTGTCAATATTTTCTACAAGCTGCTGCAACTTTGATGTCTCTGAGGTTTGCATAGAGTCAAGGAGGCCTCCAAATGGAAATTTAGCCTTAAATTGGTCTGAGAGCATGGGAAGAACCGGATGGGAAACAGGGTTTGAAACAGAGCTGGGGTTTGCGCTAGGTTCAGTAATCTGGCCACCGTTGGACGTTGTGGTGGAGGTGACTGTAGAAGAGAGGACCACTTGGGTCACTGTAGTTGTGGTGGTTGTGTTCTCTCCTGGCCTACTTGAGCAGCTTGGAGGCAGGAGAACTCCTTCAGGTTTCAAAAGGGGAGGTGCATCACTCCCTTGGGTGGGTTTCGGGGAAGGTGAAGTAGTGGTCATGCCAGAGTCAGTGATGATATTAGGGGACAAAGACGCACACTCGCTTGATGGTGGGGATGGTCGGTGAGGGGACCTGTTGAGTGGAGTGAGGCTTGGAGACTCGCCAAAACCTCCCATCATACTCGGCAGCGTTGGGGGCAGCTGAAGCCCAACTGAGGTGGGAACTGTGGAAAGGACGGGTTTGCTATCCAGCCACGTGGTGACAGGTTTTTCTGGTGGCAAAGACATTCCATAGGGTATGCCTGAGCTTGTGGGCACATTGTCCAGGTACTCTGGCACCGGGTAGGGGTTCATCTGAATATGTGGATACTTCTCTTTGTGCCTCTGGAAGTGGACTTTCAGATTCCCCTTGGTGGAGAAACGGTTGCCGCATATGTTGCACTTGTAGGGCCTTTCTCCAGTATGGGAACGAAGGTGGATCTGTAGGGCGCTGTCACTGCCAAAAACCTTGGCACAGAACCGACACTTATGCTTAAAGAAGGGGTCCTCAGAGCTAGGCTTAGTGTCAAACACAGACACATTTGGGGGCTTGCCCTTGCGATGCTTCATCAGAGCAGAGAGGGGGTCGAGCGCATTGGCTGTGGCTGCTATACTGGCCAGCGGGTTGGGAAAGATGACGCTGCTGGATGAGCTGTGAGGTATCAGCGGTAGACTGGAGGCAGAGCTCAGGAGGCTGCTGTGGCTGAGTGAAGGAGGGGTGGTTGAGTTCCTGGGAAGAGCTGAGCTGCTGTTAATGCCGCCACCTCCTGATGCACTGCTACTAGTGCTAATGTTGTTTGTCACTGAGGATGAGCAGGGAGGGAGCAAAGATGACAATCCAGTACCACTTGGTGGGGGGAACACAGAGTTATTGGAGGATGTGCTGGGTACTGAAGAGGTGGACTGCTGGCTGCCACTTTGTTGTGTTTGGGAGAGTGACCCCTCTATTGCTGAGGTCAGGGGTGAAGGACCTTGACCATTAAGAGTTGCCGGCAACCTTACAGGCAGCTGATGGACAGGGGGTGTGATGAAGTTGTGTAGTTGAAGCTGACTTGCGACAGGAGGGACACAGGATGATGCAGGCCCCTGGTTTCCAGCCACATTGCTGTGATGGTGACTAAGAGCAGGCTGTGAGGCAGACTGTCTGTTCATGAGAGCCACCTGACTGCGGATTTGTTCTATCAGCTGCAGCTGGTGTATCTGCTGCTGCTGGAGGGCCATCAGCTGGTCTAGGATCATGGGAATAGCCATGGTGGAAACCCCACTGCCTGCTGCCGCTCTTACGCTCTGTGAGAACTGAGCAACTGCAACCCGGGTGCCATGCAGAGTCTCCAAGGTGACGTTGGTGCTAGGCATGGCATAGTTTGTAACAGTGGAGGGGGCGACATCATTGAGTTGAGGTAGGGAGGTGTCTGGCTCAGGAGATGTCAAATCTCTCTCTTCAAGATCCATAGCTTTTTCAGGAGAAAGCTCCACCTCCATCTGCTCATCCTCCTTTTCTAGGACATCCACCCCATTCAGGTTAACTGTCTCTGGAATGTCATCCCCCTCACCAGTGGGGCTGTGGCTGCCCTCCCTGGGGTCCTCGCTGTCAGCCTGCTCACTGGGGCAGCTGGGGACAGGGGAGAGCTCTGCGGTGTACTCTTGTGAGGGGTTCGGTGTGTCATCATTGTCATTCACTATGAGCACTAAGGGGTTTTTGGTGCAGTTCTTTAAATGTTCGCAGAAGTCTGACCACTTGAAGAACTCAGCACAACACTTCTCACATATGTGTGTCTCTTCACTGCCACTGCGGCTCTCGTTCCCGCTGTCGGCATCATCCAGCACCTCACCTCGGGCTGTAGAGAGGGGAGGGGGTCATGGGAGTAGAGTAGAGGGATGGAGGAGGGAGCAAAAAGAGAAGAATTAATGAATAAATAATCAATAAAGAATCCACACTTATTTTGCAGTGCACTGCTGCAAAGATTTAACCTTTGATTTTTTTTCTCTCTTTTAACATAACCAGAATCAATATTCTTTTTATTTTTTTTTACTCTGAACAAATTGCCCTAGTTCACCAATTCTCAAGACCCAGGTTTGTGCATTCACACCCTCTCCATAGAGCCAGCTAATAATTTTCTTTGTGCAATCCATCAAATTATGAGGGCCTATCAATTGTGGATACTGCCGCTTAATGAAATTCCATAGAACTTATTGATTTCCAATATTTCATACAATTCACAGCTGCCTCATCTGTTGGGTACAAATCAGGACTTTGATGGCCCCATTAGGATTCCCCTCTGCTATCAGGCCCAGTCATTTCCACCTGAATTTCAAATGCCTGGCCTTTTCATTTAGCATTGCAAAGGCAATACTTTAACCCCGAGCCTAAGAGAGGGACTCCCGGTTGAAACACTCGATTGTTATGATGAAAGAAAATTGTTTTAACAAGAGTGAAGGCAAAGGCATCTTGGATGTAACGCCTTTATACAATTCCAGCCAACCTTACTATGAAATAAAAAACAAAAGGAATTTAAAAAAAAATGATTTTTATTCTCCTTAATTCAAAATAGTCCTTCAACTAAAGTCTCCAGTGTTACTTTCTCTTTTTCTGTTTCTACATTTCTGTCTGTCTCTCCCTCTTCCCCATGCTCTCTGAAATAAGACTCAACAAATTACATGCTAGTGCCATGGCAGCACAGACTCTGATTAGTTACACATGTTTAATCACAGTTGTAGGAAGCCACTTCCTCTTCCACGGGCAACCATCAAGAGTCAAACAAGCCTGTGCAAGCTCCGAACATGGACCTTATTCACACCTGATCAAAACCATGTTAAAACTGCTGCCCTCCTTTGTTTATTTTGTTGGTTGTCTGCGTCTGTGTGTACATATTTCCTTTTCATTATGCATAGGAAGTGTGCACTTTCGCTACCACAGCATCCTGACCGTACTCTTTTTTTTCTTTCTTTTCTTACTCTGCTGTTCTGTTTAGACTCCAAATCCTTACATACACCTGGTAAGATAATTATTTATCCAGAAATTAAACTATTTAGTACACAATTTACACAATTTAAATAGTGAGAGAAAATTTTACGGGCATTATTGCAAATAAAAGGGATTTATTCCAGAAAGGGATAGTCCGTCTAAAATAAGCTGCTTCGAAACACAGTCAGGAAGATGGTTTCTTAGGTGAGTTAATAACATTTTGGGGACAGGCCCATGGCCATAAAAGAGCATAAAAACTTAAATACTTCCCCGAAAAAAAGAAAATAAGCATTTAACTCTGGCTAGAAATTTGCTCCCACTTTTAAAACGCTTCAAAATACTCAACAAGCTTCAACAGCATCAGCTATGAATATAACAGATGAGACATGTAGAGAGCAATGTTGCCCCTAAAATCTCCTGTTAACTACCACAAATCAGAGACTGTGTGTGTTAACTCAACATTAAAAGTCCTGCTAAGCTTTATATATGAGTAATCATGACAGTCATACAGTTGTTCTTCTCATTTTAGAGGTGAAAAAAAGAGTGAGCCATAGTGAAGCAGACATGAAGAATTTGTGCCAATTACAGTGACTCATTAGGAAGGAAATTCATCACTCCTCCTGTAATTTCACTTCAGGTGGGGGTACGAGCTATCAAGGTAGGTGAATTAGTAATCAGGACAGGGTCCATGACTTTATCTTAACTGTAGACAGGGCAGACAGAGCAAAAAAATCACAAATATTAAACAATCACCTCTGCTAATGTTAGAAATAAAATGTGAGCAATAAGAATAATTAAATTCAGCTTACAACATATTTAAGCTGGTTATTTTAATCACTTTTCAATATTTGTCATCTCTCCTTAATTTTTCAGTCACATGTCAGCAAAGTCAGCATAAAAAAGATACTCTTATTTTTTTTAAATCTGCTATAGATATCATTAAAAGCTGAAAATGTAATCCGAAAAAGAGCAAATGATTGGAACCGCCTGTGACACGTGACAGCAGGCTAAAAATCTCCTTAGCCCAGCAGCGGACAGCAGGACTCATTTCCATAATTGGGGGTTGAAAGGTCAACACAAATGAGTAGGCATTGTGTTGAGCTGATTAGTTATTAGAATGGTATTACTGTCAATCTCTTTTATTCATTCATACAATTACAAGTGGGGGCCTTTGTGTGCCTCTGACCTCACACACACACACACACACACACACACACGTTCTCACAGACAAATTTGGACAGAGAAAACACACACAAATGGAGATGGGGGGTATATGCAAGGAGATAAGAGCTAAGCACCACATGAAAACATGTAAACACACTTAGACACACACACATACACAGGCATGCTTAATGCTGTCAGAGAGTGTGTGTGCAGGTGTTGTGCACAGAGCTACAATGTCAAATTCAGCTTGCAAAGAGCTGCACCTTTCTGAGTTAAGAAAAATAGAGAAATTTCACATTTCCTGATATGGAACTCCATATTGTGAAATTTTCTTTGTTATCCAATAAACTAAAAGTATAAATCCTACTTGATTTCTTTTCAAATCATGTCGCAAATTAATTCAATGCAAGAACGTATAAAATGTCAAGTAATTTTCAAATTTGAACGAAGACGTTTGGCTTGTGCAAAAATGTAAAGACTCGCAATTACAAAACATTACAGATGCAATTAAGCGCGACAGATGTGGTATTTATTCCTGGCAGCTCAAATATTTCTGCAAACAAGCAGTTTCGCAAAATGCAAAGCAGCAAACTGGTTATATTGTTGTGCTTGTGGTTGAAAGTTGCAAAACATCCTAATTGCATTCACCATCACCCCGAAACAAAAGGGGTGCCATCGTGCTGTGCAGCTGCGTGAAGGCGACATTTGCAGTGGTTATGTGTATGCAAGACACTGAAAAAGTATATGTGTGTGTGTGTGTGTAAGGGGGGTATTGATTTTCCTATAGCATGAGAAAGGAAAGACTGCAAAAAAATCCAATCCGTTTTTCATTCCTTTAAGAGTCTTCATTTACTGAGATGCAAATATTAAGCTGAACGCAGTCAATGGGGGGATTGTCGACGTTGGAACTGTGTGTTCGTTATCTTGGCGAGCAATCTTTGGCATGCTAACTGAAACCGCTAATCTGACGTATTATATCAGATGAGGTATTCATGCTTTCCACCGATTCTGTGAGGGCCACAGAGCCGAGCATTGAGCCGAGCATTCAACAATTACAAATTGTCTCATTCTTAACAATTTCCAGATTCACTTGATAAATACACACACATACACACTCACACAGACATACACACTCTGACAATAGCACTGGTAACATTTACCCTGTGTTGAGGTGAAGTCATCGGTATCTTGTTTTAAAACATGTCATTTCTATTTCAGCTGTATCTAGATTCAAACAGCTCTGTCAAAAACGGGTATTTAAAATCTCGTTTATGATTTTAGCTCTGTTAAAAAAAAAAATGGACCTCAAACAGTGTCAAGACTGGGAGTTTTAGAGGAGTTGCTCCTCCTTCTAGATTCTTCTCCAGCATCCTTGGAACCTCACAGAGAAAACAATACAGGAGATCCAGCCCAAGTTTGGAGGGGAGGGTGAGAAGAAAACAAGAGGCCTGCTGAGTTCAACAGTGTTTGATTTCCTGTTAAAATTTTCCATTGTGTTTTTGTACACAAACCTTTCAATTCTAATGAACTCTTTTGAAGATTTTAAAGTCGTGAATTTGGACGTTTTGTATTAAATTTGATTTAAAAACAAAGCGTTTTGTCGCTGCATTTAAATGTGGTCATTTTACCTCACAGCGAAGGTTCGCAGACAAAATGAAGGTTTTTTTGTGAGGTGGTTACTCACTCTTTCACTGATTCATCTGTTTGCTATATGAAACAATTAATCATTAATCTACATCTCCATTTGTTTGCATGTGTTTTTCAAAACCAACAACAAATCATCCAAAAAATGCAGTTTCCCTACAATTAGTTGGTGTTGTCCTTTATGCTGAAACCGATAGATCATCTCCTCGGATGATCCCGTGCATCCTCAGATCTGCAGACTGAGTGCTCTCAGCACAGCTCTGAGTGTGTGTGTGTGTCTGTGAATGTGTGTAAATGTGTGTCACTGGCCTGGTCAGCCCTACTGCAGAGTGGTACAGTCATATCTGCGTGAACAGGGAGGCCTTTGTCATCGCCTGCAGATGTGGAGCAGCCAAAACATTAACGATTTGTTTGTGTAAGCGTTTGCGATACAGTATTCAGTGACGGCACTCCGTCCAGATGACTGTGTCACCCGTCAAGATGGCTCTCGCTGTCAGAGTGCGTGCATGTTTGTGGATTAAGCAAAGAGCTGTAGATAAGGAAGGAGGCTATAGGGTGTACTGTATGCTCATCTTCAGCAGGCCAGAATGAATATGATCAATTCTGCATTTTTAAAACCAAGGCCTGTGCATCAAGCTCTGGTCCGATTAAAAAAAAGAGTTGGATTCTTCTTTCAAATCAGCTCAAAAACTATTTCACCTTACAAACTCAGGCACCCACAATAACATCCTAAATAATCTCTGTTTCCGAACCTTTATACCCCTGCCCAATTTTTTAAGCAATTCAAAATCATATCAGCAGAACAGTCAACACAAAATTATCCAAAGAACCAACAAAACTCACAAACACAGGAAAGAAACAAAGCTGCTAAGCTGAAAATCTTATTCGCTGTTTCTCAAATTCCTCAAATCTGCTCTTTTTGAAACGTCTACACTGTCTAGTCCTCCCTCTCAATCACAGCCTAACTTGTTGGTGTGTGTTGTCAGTGCCGAGTAGTAATTAAGACACGGCCATATTTGAGTGCCTTCTTGAAGACATCTTTGGCACAACAGTGTGGGTGGTCCAGAGGCCTGCACCCACTGGTGAGGGGGGATTAAAACAAAAGCCAAACAAAGCCCCGCTGCAGGGGAGGCATGTTGTCACTGTCAGCGGGGATTTCCTCAATATATTATATATTTTTGCACCTCATAACTCTCAGCTCTCTTGTCGACAACATTCGAGCAGTCCATAAGGAAATAGTTCTACATTTTTGTGACTGTCTTTAAGAATTTAAGAGTTGAACCCACGACAAATGTGCAGAATTGAGCCAGTTAAAAGTGTTCAAACTAAAAACAGAGACTTTCTTTTCTAATTGTTGATCTTTTTTTGTGAAAAATACAACAAATGATCGTCCCTGACATGAATTCTCAGCTGTAGAGATGCAATTTTTAAATCCTCTAAAGTGAAATAAACTCTTGTCTGTTCAAGCTGTTTCTTTGCAGACCTGTTCATAAATGTATAAATGAGAGTATGCAAAAGTACATCCACGTGCAAGATGTCTGCCTACGCCTCCCACACAGTCTGCGTGTGCACACCTTCAAAGATGCGGTGCTGAAGAGGAAGCAGTGATGACATGAAAAAGCTTGTCGCTGCTCACACTTTCTAGGACGAGAGTCTAAGCCGTGTCCAAGGTCAACAGCACACACGTTCGAATGGCACAAAGAGCTTGACATCTAGGCAGGACCTGGCCCGCCTGGCTATGCAAAGGTTAAGTCAGCAAGCTTTATAAAAGCACTCCCTGAGCAGACCCCCCTCCTCTTTTTCCCAACTGAACACACGCACACAGAGACACACACACACACACACACACACACTCACAACCCCCAGTGCCCCCAGGGGGGCAAGTGTCCGGAAGGCCTGAGGGGGAGATGATGTGCCAGACACAGGCTTGTTGGCACCTGATTTTAGTTTTTCATGTTTTCAGGGATCCAGCACATGAAAGAAGTCGTAGCTGAGCTGCAGAGGGGCACAAATTCACAGAAAAAAGGTTGAAGAATTGGAATAAAATGAACAAACATGGTGGAGTTTTTGTGACAGCTTCTCACTGCTGTGGTTATTGTCTTGTTCGAAAGCTATTTTCATGAAATGCACCCCGGTCAGATTGTCCTTGAGCACATCTGGAACACCAGTCTTAACGCTTGACTCTCTCTTCACCATCGTCCCAACATGTATAGATTTAAAGTCTAAATCAAGCAGCGACTGACAATTGGAACTTTTGAATTCCTCTGACATTATATGCAATGATTTGTCAGAGCCAGCGATCAATAGTGTCGTCACGAGCTGCAGCACGGCATTAGGCAACGGAGAATCCGATCATGCTGCAATGATACACCGACAGTGTGACATTTGTAGCTGGCGTGTGTGTGTAAATGTGTGTGTGTGTGTGTAAGTGTGGGGTAGCTTTGGATGAGACATGCTGTTATTAGGTTTATTTAAGTGTGTATGGGCTCACTGTGTTCTGCCAAGGGATTAGGATTGTTTCACTGCGACGTCTGTCCTGAAAAACAAGCGAGCCACTATGGTGCTGCTACAGGAACATTCCACGGCCACTTCCACTGTCAAGCACAATGTTGAAGATCCTATAGGTTTGCCTGAGCTCTGTCTCTTTATGTGGGTATTTTTACTCTAAAGATACACATCCCTGAAGGACGGTGTCTGTTAAGGAGGCAAAGCAAAGAGAAAATGAGTTTTTACTCTTCCTTCACTAATTTCCCCTCATCTTTAGAATAATTTCTGCTAAAAAATACAACAAAATCTGAATTTATCCTTGCAATTTTATGATGAAAATGCAAGGAAAGTGGACTTTTCATTCTCTGATTCCACAGGAGAGAAACCAGATGGATGTTTTGCATCTCTGACCTAAGCCTTGAAAAGATTTCCTCGACGTTCGAGCAAAAAAATCTTTAAATAAAAATGTGAAATAAAGAAATATTAACAGAGTGGACGATATAAGAGAGCCAAGAGTCACCGGTGGCTGTGATTCCCTCCACTCACACGAACATTTCGCCATGCAAAGAGAGCTGCTCCCCTGAGATTACATCACGCACTCCTATTGTAAAGAAGCCCAACAAAGTGTGTGTGTGTGTGTGTGTGTGTGACTGTGTCTGTGTGTGTGTGTGTGTGTTGGCCAACATTAGCTTATAGTGAGATATAAATAAAGCAGGGATTTGTCGCCAGTTTGAAGAGGGTCAAGAATGAAATGTATCTTCAATAAAACTTCACAAAAAAGAGGATGAGTTTGAAAGCAAAGGGAATTGTTTTTGGTATTTTTTAGAAATGACTCAATGATTGCTCTAATTCTTTGTTTATAAAACATGGCTTTCTGCTATTTTCTTTATAAATTAATACTTACGAATTCAATTGCAGTTTATAAGAAATGTCAATTCAGACACACTATTATCAGAAGGATGTCTGACCTAAACAGTTACATAAATAATATTCCTTCAGTTATCCTGTTGGGATGAGGAGTCCTGCTGCATTGAGATTTACATAAGGTGTGACTTTAACTCTGTAAAGTTCGTTTAATTGCGCAAAAGGCTGGATGCAGAATAAAAGAGAGAGAAAAAAAAAACATGAATGAGCCTTTTTCTTTCCACATGGCGAGGACGAGCCCTGTCAACCGATGTCGTCGACATTGTGCGCAAAAAGGGAACAAATCAAGTGTGCCAAATTTATGTGAGGGGGGTAAACAAAAAACATTTCCATAACAAAACAAGGCTTCGACCTGCAACAGAATCCGCATTTTGCTCCTCGGAGAGCCAGACAGGCGCTCAGGGACAAAAGACACGAATGTTAAATAAATATACAAATTTAACTGTAAAGATTTTAATTATTTTATCAAATTAAAAAAATATATATTTAAGCCATACGATTTATTTTTACTCCCGCAATTCTGTGGATTTAATAACTATTTTGCAGCTATTTAAAAATGACAACAGATTGGCAAATTTCGCGTAAATTTTGGTGTTTACGGACACGTCTAAACTGTGTGAGATTTTTAGGACGTATGTCAGAAAACAGCCCCGATATTCGACATGAAGAAAAGTATTAAATCCTTTCTATTTCTAAACACGTCTTTCAAAAAGGCCTCCTGCACATCATATAAAGGCTTCAAGTGTAAACTGTTATAAATGAATGTTTGCATCGGTCACATTCGTCTTTAAAGTCATTTATCAGCCAACAGTCGGAGCTTAGGTGCACCCCGGAGGAGCTGCAGGTTGGACTGATGTTTGGGAATAAAACAAACACACAACTTCTCCAACGAGAGCCGCACACTTCTCTGCCAATTGCGGAAAGACTTTTGACTGAGTTATTCTGATAAAGCGGTTTTATTTGGACATTTTGCGTCTGTTTCGGGTGAATGTTTCCCCATCAGGAAATCTGCAGTAATCCAAAAGAAGCCAACATACTTTGGATTTCAGGTAAAACTCAAAGAAACGAGTCAGAAGAAAAAAAAAAAGCCTGGAATGTTGGAAGTAAAATAGTGCAGAGAAGAGCTGCGAGAGAAAGTTGTCTGTACTGTAAAGGAAGGAGCCTTCAGCTGATCTGGTCCACTCACCGTGCTCGGAAACCACCCCGGCTAGTGCGGGATCCTCGTCCGACTTGAGGTGCTGCGGCTTGGCTTGCTTGCGTCGGGACATGCTGCTGGCGTCAGTGCTGGCGATGCTTCTGCTTTTGCGCTCCGTGATGTCTCTGCGTTTAGCAGATACATCAGCGAAGAGCGAATGAATCAACACACAAAAAGTTCGCAAATAGTCTGGAAGCGGAGCGCAGAGAGGAGGAAAAAAAAGCTGATATTAGCCGGTGTCGCTGCTTCTGTCGTTGCTGTTGTTGCTGTGCGTTGGATTGCGCATGTCGGTATAATAATTATGATAGTGAATAATGCCTCACGATTAATGGCACCGTGTGAAGGTGGGGAGGATTGGCTGGAGTCCAGCGGACGCGCATTGGATATGGTAATGAGGGACGGACTGAGCAATTAGCCGCTTCACTCTCAGACTTTATCCGTCTCTTTTCTCTTTACTATCCAGCCTCCCCCAACAACACAACACAACACACCAAATCTCTTGTTATGCCCGGCTCACAGGGCGGGCGGGGGGGGGTCTTCAGCAGGAACGTCAGGCTCTTTTATTTCGCCTCCTTTCACCGAGCGCACCTTCTCACAAGTGCTGAAGATTCACCGCCACGTTTTTTCTCCGAGTGTCTCTCATCTTCACCACTTTGACTTTTTTCATCCCGCTTTTAGCTCACAACTTCAGAGGGCTTCTTCTCATAAAGTCTGACACTGAGAGCTCAGCTCTCTTCAAGGACTTTCTCTCTCTGTCCCTCTCTCTCTCGCTCACTCGGTAACTTTGTTTGTGTGTGCCGAGGCTGAACACGCACTTCCTTCAGGAGGCGACTCTGAATGAAACGGTGTTTACAGTCACATGGATGTTTCAGGGCAGCTTTACTCGCAAAGTAGCTTCCGGGTGACTTAAAAGTGGACAAGACGAGTTAAGTTCTTGACAAAAGCAGTTAATTGTTAACAGGGTTTTTTTTTCTGATGGCGCAGCTCCGCTCTCCAAACTTTGACGCGCGACTTACGGGAAAAGCGCCGCCACGACTAGCAACAGTCCTCCTCTCAGTTACCACAACAAAGTAAATGTGCTCAAAGAGTCATTTCGTCCACTAAAGACAGGTCACTTCGCTGCTTTTGCTCGTAAAGAACTTCACTTCGTCCTCTTCTTCCTCCTCCTCGTGCAGCGTTTTACCTCCCGGTGACGCCGAACGCCTCGGTGCGCTCTCCAAAAGTGTCTTTTGTGGATATTTGGTGAACAAACACGCAACACACGGCTTCTTCTCCGAATGAAAAAAAAAAGGCATTCAGTGTCGTTCTTCCTACGAGGCTCGCGCGCTCACACCGGAGCCAACTTTGAAGTTATCTTCTGGCAGCCCGCGAGCGCTGTCGGTCTCTCGGCGTTGGGCATGGCTCTGTGTGTGTGGGGGACTGCGCTGTGTGTGAGAGTTAACCCCCAAGCAGAGGTTCAGCCCATTGCTTTCAGCCACCACTAGGATGTACCACCACGTTACTGTTCAATGGATCGCCCTCATACTCCATGTGAACACCCAGATCTGACCTCCCATCATATAATATCTCCGAGCCGTCTGTTGGGACAGGGTGTCATATTAATCTCACAGAGTGTTTCTCTTTTATGAGTGATTCATTTTCGAGTTTCACGGCAGACGTTCAATCACAAGAAGCCACCTTTGAGCCAACTTTATGAACATTTTTACGCACAACTGCAAACCTTTCGTCTTTTGCTGACAGTGATCAAATAAAATATGTGATATACTGTAAAAAAGATTAAAATAAAGATTATTTTATTATGTCCGGTAAGAATGTACGAGCCATATAAAGAGGATTTATGGCGTATTTTCTGAGGCTGTAGGCTGTATTTCTCATTTTCTTTACGTGTTCGTAAAAGAAAAAAACTCGTGGAAGGAGAAACGGTGTTTTGTGTTGCTGCCAGCTTGTGACACCGAGTAAACACACTGGTCCTTTACTTTGCAAATTTCCATTTGCATTAACATCCTCCGGAAGCATGGGGTCACATTAATGGGGGAGTAATGAAAGGATTAAGACACGCGAGGACGAGGGGAAGGGAGTAAATCAGAAGAAAACCCGTGCGTAATATGTATTCGTTCACGTTTAATTCAGATAAAAACGTCATTTTTACGTAAAGAACTTCCCCATTATCAAATGTATGGTCTCTTTATAACCCCTATATGTATATAAATATTTAACGCTTTTAAAACCACACTGACAGTGATGTTTTATGTAGAAATAATCTATGAATATCATAAATGCATAAAACCATTTTACTGTAGCTCTTCATCCTTGTCGTTTATTCCCTTTTTTTATTGTGGAGGGGTTGGAGTCCCCCCCTCCCCTCTGCCCTCTCTCCCCCGCGCCTGTTTGACTTGTCTATTCCCCTGTGTCCACCTCATATGAGAGACAAATCTGTTGACAACAAGGTCGTCCTGCGAGCAAACTTTCTTTTTTTCCTCCCCCCTTCTTCTTCTTCTCCCTCCATCATCCCCCTGGAAGTTATGTCCAAACGGCTGTTATTATCTGGTATTAATAGATGCAGCCCCAGGAAGACAAAATCAGCTATTGATAATTGCAAGGAGTATACGGCTGCTACTGTATCGATCGGCGTGTCCTCCACTCCCCTGGTGCTGAGAGATAAGGAGACACACTCTTTAGAGCAATATAATTTCTTTTGACCTATCTGCTTGCTACAGACTTATGATGAATAGCCAGAGTGGCTGAAGTCCTTTATCACCAAAGTTACCCCCTTGATATAATATTGATTCTTTATAACTAGCTCGCCACACAAAAATCAAACTGTCCACTTGGCCATCATCATCATCAATATCATCACAAAGGCGGAGGAATGAAGATCCGTGCGCCTCTAAAGGCGAGCCTTTACAATCTCCTCCGTAGGCCTAATCTTTATTTTGCTGATGATGAAAGGAGAGGGGAAACGAGGCAAGGTGCCATTTAAGAAGAGGTGCCATTTAATCCGGTATAGACTACACGCACACACACACACACGAGCAGGGAGAGGGAGGGAAGAAGACCCAGTGGGACCAGGAGTGAAAACTTGGACTTCTGGTAAAGTGATTAATTCACTGGGAAATACTGGGACGTAGAAATCTTCAAAATCCTGTAAATCCACCAACAAAAGTTTCATAAATTTGTGTTGATACGACAGTTCAAACTCCTCCTTGCAGTGGTATTTTATTCAAAAAATACAATAAAATAGAATAAAATAAAGGTCGTAAATGTCTCTCAATCGACTGCAGAGAAAGTGGTAAAAATGCGCGTTTGTTTTATGATCCAGCTGACACCGGATGTGCCACAGAGGGATCTTTTAACCCTAAAGAAGCGGCTGTGTTACTGCATAGCAGGAGCCCCACAGCGGCTATTACAACGGGGCCACTCTCCCTATTCACCGAGAGAGAGGAGAGGAGAGGGGAGAGCGCTGCCGGTGGAGGAGAAGGTTGAGGTGGGGAGGGGGGGGGGGGGGGTGGAGGGGCTGCGAGGGAGGAAGAAGGGAGGGAGGGTGGGAGAGGAGAAACGTGTAATCACCCAAACAACCATTTTTACCCGTTTCACCCCCTCTGGATCTGTGTCGCAAGGTAAGAAAAAGGCTACTTGGCTGCTACGCTGGCCCTCTCTGCACCGTGGAGTGCACCGGCTGACTTGAGTGAGAACTCCTCTCCCACTCTGCAGTCTGCTGTGAGGTTGTCTGTCTTTCACTGCGGAGACCGGACCGAGAGGGAGACACTGATAAGGTAAATGACGCTCGCCATCTCGGGTTTATTCTCTCTCAAATGTCTGCCGCTGTTATGAAATGTGTTGCCGTGAACTTTAAGGATATTTTCACAAACGAGGGTCCGAGGATGTGACGTGCTGCGCTGTGTGTGTAATACGCTGGGATTGTAATGCATGTGTGATGGGACCGCTGAAGACGCACCGTATGAATAACCGCGTCCCCCGCGTCAGTGTCCAATCAGACGTCTTTGCGCCGCCGCAACTGGTGCCAACACGAATTTCCACACACACCGCAGGCTACTGTAGCAGCCTATGGCAGCCTATGGCATACTACTGAGGCTATGTCCACCAATCAGAGAGCCGATGCAACTTTTTTTCTCCCCGTTTTTTGCAGATCGTAATAACAGTTTCCCCTCCCTTCAATATCACCATTCGGGTTATGGTGAGCGTATTACAGGCACTGCCTTCCCTCTCATGAGTTTCGTACATTCAGGCATCTGTGCTACTTGTTATTAGACCCAGTGAAGTTGGTATACAACATGTGGTTTGATAGTTAAATTCCTGTAATACTTCAGCTGAAAAAAAAGACATTTTTGGGACTGTAATAGTTGGAAAATATTATTTTAGAGGTCTGAAAGTGAGTTTCACTTGATCACTTCAATCTCTGCTTATGATTTTCTTGATCATTCCTTTTTGTATTTCTGACTTTGTGCATTGCCCCACATTATTTTCAACTATAGTGTGTTATTATATTAATGTTTGCCCTATTATAGTTGTTTTAAAGAGGACTGTGCATACAATGTCTCCATCTTATTGCTGAGATTCACAGTGAGTTGTTTTAATGTGATTGTTTGTTATAATCTTATCGTTTTGCACTGTTATTTTGACGGAGGGAAGTATCTGTACTGACTTCAAAATAGTCAAACACAGACAATAATTATTAAACACGCACAAAAGGATATAATTGTAAAATAGTTCGATAAATAATGTCATCGTCAGAGTAAAAGCTTCTCTGTAGAAATGTGTCTTAGTGAAATGAAAGGGACCAACTCTGCAAGTCTGATCTCCTCTGTCAGGCTCATCTAAAGTGTGGATCATGCTCTCACAGCAAAAGCCCTGTCACCTCTGGTTTCCAGCCTGGACCTTGGAGCAGCCAACAGAGCTCAACCAGAGGATCCCAGACTGTGTGCTGGCTCAAAGAAACTTCGAAATAAAAGGAGGGACCAGCCCGTGTTTGACTTTAAATGTGATCAAAGGAATATTAAACCCAGTTTTTGATGTGGGGCCGGTGTAGAGATGCTGAAATTGAGGAGATGTGAAGAAGCAGAGCTGCAGGGCAGTCTGAAGGCAGTGGATAGATTTCTGAGACGTGTGTACAGGGTGTTGCAGTAAATGTCTTTGATCACAACAGGAATTACATTTTTTGACTCAAAATACAAATCTAGATTAAAAATGACAAGAAGATTTTGATTTGAGGTGGATCTCTTTTAGTGGCTTTGTTTTTTATTAAAACTATTGTGTTGTAGTAGTTTACTTTTCAGAGTTGCTGTATGGTGAAGTCTTGTATATTTTGGGTAGTTTTGGTAAAGTCTTTTTATGAAACTGTTGAAGGGTGAGCCACTCTGAGCTAGTGTCATTTTTATAATGATTCTCATTGGATACTGAGTGAACCAAATCAGCTGATGTACTGGATGACATAATTAAGATTTCTTTACTCTCTGACACGTCCTCCATAGAAATGTAAAACACACACATACAGACACACACACATGCACGCACAATTTGATACATAATTGTGGACATCATGCATAAGTAATGACTATTGTAGCCGGGACTAAGTGCTAACTGGCTGTGATCCTGCCCTGACAGAGGAGTGTTTTACCCTCACATTTATCAGAGCCACAGATTAACAGACATTTGAATGTGTGTGTGTGTGTGTGATCCACCGGTGTTTTCACATCAGGCATCAGTGAACTCATCCAGACATTTTCAGTTATCATACCATGACCTGCTTGTCTGGCCTCAAATGAGGCAGGCTGAGATAAAATGTGACAGGCAGCTGGTGTACCTGAGATGAGCAAAATGTGATCTGACTGCTCCAAGCAGGCCTAATTGAAATGAATTGAATCAACCCATTTTCTTCTGCTACTGTAATTAAATTAGTAGCCGCGGTGTAATTGGACATCGAGTTGGCACTTGAGAGGAGATGACAAAATGTTCATTGCTGCCACCGAAGGACTGTGTGTCAAATTCAGTGTGAAAGGCACAAGACCAAATGCTGGCTGACATGTTGACAAGGCTGGTACTTTTCAGCAGAGGACTCTAAACACACCCTGATTATCTGCTGCCATGTTACTCCGTCTCGTGTTGGTGGTACATACAGAGATGTAAAGATGGGATTTTAAATCATAATGTGCAGATAATGCCCTCGAATGGAGACTCTACAAACGTATTTTACAATATTCAGAGGGTCTTTTTTTTTCTTGGGTTAGCTAAACTTCTTAGTGGACATGCAAAAACTAAAACAGTTGAAGTTTGAGCAGGTTTTAAGGACAAAATGTGTGGCAGATATGTCTGAAGATGAACTCAAGCTTAGAAGCTGAATAATTTAGAGAAAAAATACAGTGTTTACTAAATGACAGCACAGAAAAATTCAATTCTGAACACTCACATATGAGGATCGTTGTGGGGTGAAATTTGATGTTTAATAAAAACCTGACACTTGCAGAGAACAGGTATCAA